ACTGACATATATTTGTGTGTGTGTCAGCATAACTGTTTTGTGTAGTATGTAGTGCACACAGTCTGTGCATATGAATATGAATCATAGCCATTTCAGAGGTAAGCCCATTTAATAACTTGGGGGAGAGGAGAAAGGGGCTTAAGCAAGATCCACGTGAAATAATATATTTGATGGAGAATGTGTTCTCAGTATTTCAGCTTTGGCTGTCTAAATGCAAGTTCCAAAGTAATCTTCCAAATGTGGATGAGGCTGATATGCATGATAATGTCAAGTTATATCCCCAGACTCTTTCCACTGTTCATGAATGTTTCCACTCCACTTCCTCTTACGCTGCTGCAAGCACCAGATACCTGCCCTAATGGAAGGTCTTTTGTGGTCAGTTCTCGCTTCATATCGGAGAAGCTGGAGATGGAATCCCTGCGCAGCACACCTCTCTTTCTTTGCAACCAAAACAGCATCCAGTACTTTGGTGTGAGGATAATCTGTATGCATAACAGCCAGCACGAAGATGATAGGCACTGAATTAGCTGCAACTCCCAGATATAAGCATGCTCACCCAGAATTAATAAAGGTAGCCACACAAGTGTGTTCATGTTATTAAACAGAATGAGTAATTTCTTCAATAAAGAATGTTGCTGGAAAAGGGCTTCCTGGCTAATTAAAAACACAGCTGAAATTTCTCAGCAGACTTTACAGAATGGTGACTTGATTGGCTGACCTCTAGAGCACTAGCTTAGCACAATCTCCCTGGAGATTCCCGTCTAGTTATGTGAAACGACTGTGAGTTTTTATACTGTGGGATGGATTTCAGAGAGTCCAGCACTCAAACCACAGACGTTCAAGTGTGTTTGGTAGCTGCTAATGCATGCTCCACCCTGAAAGTTTCACTTGGCTGTTCTGAAAATCCAGACCAAATATAAGTGCTGAGATGAAGCTGGATCATACGAATGTAAAGCAGTATAATAAAACTGTCCATTTGAAATCAGTGAGAAATTTTTCCAGACAATTGTCCAAACCCAGTGATGCTTTTATGGGTGCAAAGGCATCTTTGGGGATCCTAACCCCTTAGTCAAAGAACACTGTGAACCACAGCCATCCCAGGCATATACACAATGAAAACTGCAGCTATGAAAACACTAAAGGAGCTGTCATCACCTTTAAAATAAATTTGAATGTGAAAGCGCATGAGCTCTGTGTGCACATTATGGCTACCCTAAAGACTTTGGATTGCATTCCATGTGTTTAGGTGCATACTTGGCAAAAGATATAGCCTCTTGGAATTACTCAGTTGTATCAGCTGAGCTGTTCCTTAACCTATTGGTGCTCTTAAGGGAACTAGAATGAAGAACTTGATTGCTCATACTCTATTTTATAGACTCTATATTATGGGCTTGGCAGTCCTTTCCCAAATGTTTTTATTAGGGCTATTAAACAATTTTGAATTGGTTAAACACCTGTCTTGTAACCTATTAATTTGCTGAATGACTAAATTTCCACTGGCATATTACTAACACCTCAGTATAGATGTAGTTTTGAGATATTGGTGGAAGTACACAATGCCGTTGTCAGAAGGGGAAAAAAATGTTTAATGGTTTGGCAGTCATTTCCTATTGCAGCAAATGCACCAGAACCTAAATAGTTAAGGGAAGGTCTTTATTGAGACTAACAGCCTCACCAATTTAAACATTCATCATTGACCCACTGATTGATCCAATAAAGGTTTACTCTATCAATCAAAGATGACAACCAGGATTTTTATCCCAATGATTGCCATTTAAAGTGTGTTCACTGTCTGCAGTACATCTGAATGACATCTACAGCTGGCTGAGCTTTCCTGCTTGCATGAAAAATAGTTTTAAAATATGTTGATAATAGTTGAATAACAAGACAATTGCAAATAACTGGTATTTTTCCTGCAAAATCCAAAAGAAAAAAACCTGGGGAGGAAAAGCTACTTTGAAGTTAAATCAAAACAGAGCATTCTAATTAAGGTTGCAATTCTAATCCCTGATCTGTGCTGCTGGGGGGGGGGTGGAATTAGGATATAGCAGATCTCCCCATATGCTGACCTCCACTGACCTTGCCAGCGTGGAGGAGGGTAGGTCTCTACTGCTGTGATGCCCCTCCTGCAGAAACTGCAGCAGAGGCAACAATTCAGCTATTGTTGGGCTCTAGGGAAGTGGGTAGAATGGGGTCATCCAAGGACCCTAAAATTATTTGAGCCTCTCTGCTGCATTAGCCTGAAGCTGGCATGGCAAACCAAGAGGTTCTAGCCCCATCTTCTCTCCCTTCCTAGCCAGAGATGGTGGTAGCTCGACCCCTCCATCCCAGCCCACTGCTCTGTGGCCAAAGTTAGGATTGCTCTGCTTGTAGACATTATGGTTTTTACAAAGAAAGTTTAATCCACAAAAGTTTCAGCTAGGTCTGGGCTTATTTTTGCGGTCTATTTTATTGGTAATGGTGTCTCCCCAGATCCCAGGAGAGCTTTTCTTTCTCTGTTTATTCCAACTTCAGAGAAGAGCAAATCCTTCGCTCCCAAATTACTTTTGCTGTTCCTTGTCACTGACATACTAGCTGACATGATTCACGGCGTCTTAACAGAGCACCCTTGGATGGAGAAAAGAAGGGCAAGAAAGAGAGCAGCAAATTACTGTTATGTCAGAACATGAGTACGATCAGACAGAGAAGGAGACTTCACTGTCACTTACTGTCCTATCACTAACAACAGTCTGCTTGCTATGGGGGAAAGTGGAGAAGGACGAAGCCTAATTAGGGAATGAAACATGTCCATCCATTCACTCAAAACGGCAGGAACTGTAACACAGGGTAAAAACAAGAAAGCTTTCCTCAAATGGTATGAAATTTGCTCAGGAATAACATAAAGGATGGCCAACGGATAGAGTTTACAGCATGGCATTAGGTGGATTAGTTAAGATCACTGCTAACACATGTTAAACCAGGGATGGGGAAACACAGCCTCTGGGAGCAAATGCACTTCTCCAGGCACTTCTTGGGACTTTGCCAGGCCACAAACCATCCCAAGCCACACCTGTCACCAGCTCTGTTTTGCACCCTCCTTAAATATTTTTGTTTGGCTGGATGTGCCTTTGAACTTGCATCTTGCTTGCCTCTATAGAGGGTAAAGAGGGATGTGTGAGTGTGAAGAAATTTGCCTACTGTACTAACAGTAAAACCCACATTGTTGCTCTGCCTACTTTTGGCTTTGGTTCTGCTCATCACTGGTTTGTGGCTCCTGGAAGCCCAGACAGGAATGTGGCTCCCATGTTGTCTCTATTAACATGGAAGCCGAACTTTACACTGATGTGACAGAACAAGGATGGGGGGAACCTGTGGCCTTCCAGATAAACGTTGGTCAACTGGCAGAAGCCCCTGGCAGCATGGCCAATGGTCAAGGAAGATGGAAGTTGTACTCTAATAACATCTGGAGGGTCACAGGTTCCCTGTCTCTGCTGTAAAGCCAACATTGACTTGTTCAGATAGATTCCATGCATATGCCGGCATATGCCTCTTTCTTCAAAAGTGTTGACTGTGCTGAATCATTGCCAAACATTCATCATCTCCCCCCCTCCCTTATTCTACTCCTGTTTCCTGGGTATCACTGTTCTCTTCTATCAATACATACAAAAGTAGATTTTAAAAATGGGTGGATTTTAATCATACTTTCCAGGTGACTCGGAAATTTTAAAAAAATTAAAGTGCTATAATAATGTGCTTGGTCTGTGCTATAATTTGAAGGCTGCTAGATTAAAGTGATTAAAGAATGTTCTGTCATATTTTCCCCTGCTGACCTCACATTCAAAGCTATGTGAAGATGCATGGGAACTGTGCACTCAGATATTAAAAAGAGAGAAACTGAGGGAGAGGGAAATGACTGTTCATTAAGTGTACATCAGTATTGGTGGCATCAGGCTTTCATCAGTACAGGAGCAGTAACAGTGAGACTGTTCCAGAGGTAGGGATGGAGGAGAAATTCAATTCAGTACTCATTTAAAGCCAAATCTATCCACTTCCACTTTCCAAAACAAAATACAAACTGAAACACAGCTATCCTTCAATATTCACACCTATCCAAAGTTTGCTATGAAGTTCTTCAGGCAATGTTTGCAAGAATGCATATATTAGGGGAAAGTGTTTAATGAACCCCATGGAGATGTCCTGGTGGGAATGGGGTGGAAGAGCGGGAAGAGATTGGGGAACTGGAGGAGCCGAATCCAGGAAACGGCTGTGTGAACTGTCAGGAGAATAGCTCACCTTTGGATCATTGGATACCCCAAGTGCAGCATCCAAACTGATCAATGTGGCACCCTCTGACAACATACAGCCTCTCCCTTCAGGGGATGCACAGAGAGATCAGTCTGACAGTGACTCAGCCCTGTCATCTCCACCCCCATCACCAAGAACTCAAAGACAACTGTATCATCACAGAAAGTCTTCACATGTTCAGCCTACTCAGCAAAGTGTTTGCTTGCTTGTCCAGTTCCAAACTCCAGGACATCAACCATATGAATGAAGATCCTGCTCTTCAAAAGGAGATTTCAGGGGTCATGCCAAATTTGTGGTCCTCCTCTTAGCTTCTGCCTAGCCATATACTTTAGATCTTTGCAATGTTCCCTGACTTTGTGACCTGAAATTCATCTTATGCTTGTAGTGAAGTTTGTGTCAGTTATGATGGTTAAATAAAAAATTCACTGGATCCCTAGATCCAAACACAGGGCAGAATACTCTCTGGTTAGAGAGAGCCTCAGCAGAGGTTTTAAAACACAAAATGTGCAAAATGGGAATGCTTTAGACCTTTAAATGTTAGACCTTTTTATTCACATGACAAGAACCTAGAAAGGTGTTGATGTACAGGAGCGACTACATGCAAACAAAATTGGTGTGTGTATTTTTCACTGTCTTGCTTAACATACTTTTGCCATGTTTCCTAAGCCAATTCTATCATAATTTTTCACAGTCCTAATCTGACTTCCTCTGGGCAAATGCATTCAGAAAAACTAATTTTGAATGAGTCAAGCAATTACATTTTCCAGTGGCAATTTTATAAGCAGAACCACAGAAGGTAATGAACAGCCTTCTGTCCACTCTGTTACCTGGAGTGATGTCAGCCACTGCAGTACTGTCACCCAAAGGTAGACCTGCAGGAGTAAAGTTGCATACTTTGTCCTTGGAAATTAAAAGAACTTGTATTGATTGGTAAACCTAAAATAGTGTGCTTTTGGTACCTACTCAAAGCAGGACTGGGCAGGAAAATGTGATTTGTTGCTTCCTTCAGCTATGGCCAAAGGCATCAGCATTAAGTAATTCTTAATCACGTGTTCATTAGCAAAAAATTCTTACAGACTTTACAGTGGGAGAAGCAGTTAGGCAGACTCCTATCCTATGCTTCTCTGTGGTTTTCTCTTACCCAGACATCCTGATCCATCTTCAGACCTTTTCTTCTGATTCTCCCAAAAAGCAAAAGTCTGAGCAATTGGTATGTCTGCCCCAAACATTCTGCAGCTGTATACCACCATCTGCTGGACTCTTCCCTAACACCAGGCCATCATTGAATGCAAAAGGGTCCTGCAAACATTGTAGTATACAATCTTAGGACCTTCTTTCAACATGACTTGGTATCACTTTAAATGTCCTGACCATGCCGTCCATGTCCAAATTAGAGCTGAAATTATTTCAATTTCCTGCAAATCTTTTAATCTTTCTTTTCTTTTCTTTTTTTGCAAATATTCCCAATTACAGCTATCATTTGATTTAGTTGGATTGTGGGATGGACAGATATAAAAGTAACTTTGTTTTCTTAAATTTAGCAACAAAATCTATGACAAGTCTTTACCCATCCAAGTGAAATTTCAAGTTAATTTCTCTTTCCATGTGAGTATAGAAGTGGGCAAAACAAAAATGGAAGGAAGACAAATCTGGCAGACTGAATTTGCAGTGGACTGGAGGCAATCCCTCAATTTCCAAGTATTAGATTCACTTCTTTGAGAACATGGTGCTCGTAGAGCAAAGCAGGGGAGGGAGGGCTGTAGGTTGGTGGTAGAGCGTTTGCTTTTCATGCACAAGTTCCTAGGTTTAATGTCTGACATTTGGAGCAGCTCCCCTGCTCCACCTCCCTGGGAGCTGCTGTAGACCTGTGTGCCCTGGTGGAAGGCAGAAACAAAGGAGCCCAGGCCAGGGAGCACACATACCACCAGCTCCCAGTTGGCATGAGAGAACTCTGTCAGTCTTCAGTCATTCATTATTATTATAGATTTATTTATACCTCACCTTCCCCCCTGAAAGGGCTCAAGGCAGCTTACAGCATAGCTGTCAACATTTGCCTTTTTTAAAGGGAAATTCCCTTATTCCAAATAGGATTCCTTGCAAGAAAAGGGAACAGTTGACAGCTATGGCTTACAGATAATGTATTGGGTGCTGTGGCGATCACACAGGGTCCCCAGACTTTTAACAGTCTCTTGATCCCTGTGTCACCACTGTGCTCGCTTCCCCGCTGCCACCGACCCGTTAGTCTCTGATAAAACACTGAGTCCAGTCAGTTGTTAAAAGTGAACACAAAAACCCCAAGTTTATTTTACAAACATTAACAAGTTTATGGTTTCTCAGATAATATTCCTGTCAGTATCTTAACTTTAGTTTCTTTACCAGCCTATACCTTCCTAATACTTTCTGACTGATTATCTCAACTGTTTGACTGACTCCTCTTAACAAATTCTCTCACTCTCTCACACCAGACTAGCCCAACCCACAGACTTATCTTCTCTGAGTCTTCTAACTCCAGACTGTCTTCTCAACAACTCCAACTCACTAAAAAAACTCCGTGCTTAAACCTTATACACAGTTAACTCTGCCCCCTGGGTTCCCATTGGTTAGTCATTTTACAATTAGTTAACCCTTTCCCTATGAACCCAGTATGATGTCACACACATAGGAGGGCAAACGCCACAGGTGCCTTGGCAGAAAGGTAATGTATAAATCCAATAAATAAATAATCTCCCAGTGGGGCTGGAAATGTCCCCTGTCTGAGACCCTGATAGTGTAGACATTGCTGAAGTAGATGGAATTGGTCTCTTTGTTTGTGTTTCACTATTTTTATTCCTGTTCCTTTTCTTCAACTTGGTACCCTCTGTTTCATGGTAGAACTTCAAATGATACACAGTCAACAAGGAGTGATCTGTACCACAGCAGTGGTAGATTCCCTATATAATCCCCAAATATATCTCGACTCTCTATCTGCCTTTTGGACTTCTGTGAAATGGAAGATCAGAGGCAGGGGCCCGTTAAAGATTCCAGCCCTCCTGCTTTCACACTCTTTGATTCAAGTTAGTTCTTCCAGCAGACATCTGAGGAAGGGAGAATGATGCTAATGAGACACAAGGTCAGTCTTGAAATGTTTTATTTGGCGAATTGGGGAAGAGAAAAAGCCCTGACACTCAATTTCTCAGCTGTGCTGGTGTGAGCCTGAGACACATCAGCTCTTGAGGCTGCCCTGAGAGCACAGTATGTTCATTTCAGGGGGAAGTGATGGGACAGAGCACAGTATGTTCATTTCAGGGGGAAGTGATGGGACACACGACAGCCTTTAAACAGGACCAAGGAAGCTCAGCAGGGTCAGTGTGAAATCAAATACAGAAACAACTAAATAGGTAAGGGCTCTCTGCTTGGCTTCACAAAAGCCAATCTAGGTAGAAATAGCGTTTCACAACACCTGGTTAAGTAGCAAATGAAAGAGACAGTTTTGACTTGCTATGGTTTCCTACAGGTTCTAAATTCACTAAGGCACTTTTGTGGCACATGCACACACGCGCGCGCACACACACACACATTTTTTCTTGATTCTTATTTCTAGAGCCACCCAAAAAGCAAAGGTAGTGATGCTGGCCCATAAGTAAACTTCCAAAATCCATATTAGCTTCCCAATTGGTGGTCTGTGTAACCCACCCAGAGAGTCAGTGGCAACATTCACATAATGAAAACTACCACAGAGATATCAAAATTTTCAAAAGTAAGAAGCCCATCACTTGTTTTTGGGGGAAAACTTACCTAATTGGGAACCACTGCTCTACACAGCCATATCCTTCCTGTGTTTGGGTGACTGAAGGGGGCTAGTATGTGCCCAGATTAAGAACATAAAATAAACCTGCTGGATTGGGCCAAGGGCGCATCTAGTCCACCATTCTGTTCTCATAGTGACCAACTGGATGCTTGTGGGACACCAGAAACAGGACCTTCTAGCACAGCAGTTAGTCTATCTGCAGCTCCCAGTATGAAAAAGCTCTGTCCACAATAATCAAAAGATCCCTTTCAAATGGAATGGTGGCACAATCCATTTAGGGAATGACTCAAACTCTAGAAAATTCATTTGATATTCCATATAACCTTGCAGAATTAATGTTTTCGGCACTTTCTATCTGGTTGGGGGTTTTTTTAACAGCACTGCTGTTGCTTAAACTCCCAAACAAGTTAACAAGTTTCAGAGCAAATTAGAGTGTAACTAATTCATAGCATTACCCCCAAATTCATTATAAGAACCTTTTTGCACTGCATAATAATGACAATATGATTAATGAGTATCAAAGCTCAACAATCCAATGTTCCAGTCGAATAGACTCTCGGCTCCTTGAAATCCCAGCCTGCTTAGGATGGGTCAAATGTTCATTTGTTCCAGGCCATTAAGTAAAAGGTTTCTTTAAATATTAACCTTGAACTTGGCCATAGATTAGTTCTGTTTGTTTGTTTCTTATTGAAGTTTTGAAAGAGACCATTGTTCTGGGGAAACAAACCAAGAAACTTATTTAAGGAACTAATTCTAAGAAGTAGAAACTCTTTCTGTGGAAGGATAGATTAAAAAAAAAAGATGTACAAACGGAAGTTCCACAATTTTTTCCTCAAAATGACTATCATCAGGCATCTAGCAGACATAAAGTTCAGTCAGATGCATGGGATGTCTTCTGCCCATTTATTCCCTTGGGAACTGATGGTAGGTAGTACTGGGGATTCTCTACCCCTGGGTGAGTTGTGTGGGGGTGGGGAAAAAATGAAAGGTAGTCTGGTGGACCATTTGCATAAAATAAAATTAAGGTAAAGTAAAGGATTGACAAGCTGTGATATTGATGTGTGCAGAGGAGGTTGATGATAAAGGGTCTAGAAACAAGCCTTATGAGGAACGGTTGAGGGAGCTGGGTATGTTTAGCCTGGAGAAGAGAAGTCTGAGAGCTGATATGATAGCTGTCTTCAAATATCTAAAGAGCTGTCACACTGGAAGATGGAGCAAGCTTGTTTTCTCCTGCTCCGAAGGGTAGGACTCGAACCAATGAATTCAAATTACAAGAAATGACATTCTGATTCAACATTAGGAAAAACTTTCTGATTATATGAGTGGAACGGACTCCCTCAGAAAGTGGTGGACTCTCCTTCATTGGAGGTTCTTAAACAGATGTTGGATGGCCATCTGTCAGGGATTATTTAGAAGTGTTTCCTGCATTACAAGGGGTTGGAACAGATGACCCTTGGGATCCCTTCCAGCCCTACAATTCTATGAGTCTATGTTTCCTCTATCACTTTCTTATTATTGTTGATCAAGATGCAGAGCTTGCGCTATTAACTTCTGATCTGTAGACCCCAAAGAGAAGCATTGCCTTACAGCCTGGTCACTTGGATTCCAGAACTAGTGTTCTGTATTGGGGGGGGGGTAGAGAACTGACGCTATGCTGAAGAACTGAAGTTATGCTTGCTTTCCTATTTTCCCAGCATCTTGAAATCTTTGAAGCCATGTGGAGTGGAATCTCCTGGGAGAAGAGTAGTCATTGTGGTGTCTTCCACAGAGCCTGGGAATCTTTCAGAGTGTTGGAAGACTTGCATATTTGCCTAACTGAAACTAAGGGCTGAATTAGACATGAAGTTAGATTTATTGTTGCATATGCCGGGATTTCCAAATGCAAATAGCAGGTTCTGTGGGTATGGTGATAATTATCAGGATCACAAGAGGTAGGGAGAAGAAATATCACCCTTTCTTATGCTGCTGCTGCATTCCGCAGGAAAATACCTCCTCTGAACCTGATATTTGCTTTGGGTACTCATTAATTACCCCCCCCAAAAAAAAACTGGTATAATTTACATTTCTAAAAAACAACAACCTGCATGCTAAATGCAATGGTACATCTAGCATCATGTCTAGCTCTACCCTAAGGCACCCAGATTTCAAATTACTGGCATACAACCTGTACTTTTAGAAAGGGTAACTAACAAATGTTATTCAGTTTTTAAAATGCATGTCGATAACTTGCTTTTCGGCTAATTTCTTACCGCAAGGCTCCCTGTGTCCTTTGCACTTCAAGCAGTATCTCTGTTTGTTACCGAAGTAAGTGGCAGAAAATAAATCACTAATCATAATGTCAAATACAGTTTGCATAAAAATCAATCCAATAAAAAAATGGGAATGAAAGGAAGAGAGGCTGTTGCTTGAATATTTTAATTAAAATGCCACACAGTTACAGGAGCAGCAGAAACTGTGCTTGGAAAAGAGATGAAATAGTCTCAGTAAACACAGACATGATATCTAAAACTGTTTCTGAGTCTTCAAATATTTGGGAGGTGTTACAGAAAATTATCCTGGTGGAAAGCAGATTGGTAGAAGCACAACCTTAAAAAAAGGATGAGATTAGGATAAATAAATGCATTTGTTACTCAAGAGCACCTTTTATGGCTCTGCAAAAGCCACAAAAGACTTCCAGCCATATGCCCCATAATGATGCAAGCTTTTTCTCTTCCTCTTCCCTCTTTCCTCTGCATCTTATTTCTTAAATGGCAATAACACATGAACACTCATCAGAGCAGTGTTCACCCCAAATCCCAAAAATCCCAGTTGTGATCAAAGGATGAGCACTGGGGGGGGGGTTAAATCCCTCCCCCTGGACCTGCCATTAATCTCAGTGAAAGGGATGGGATCTAGTCACCTGTATCACACATGCATCTTTCTGCCAGTGGACTAATTGCAGCTTTGGTGAGAGGAGAGGCTGGACTGGGCAAACAGGGCAAAGTGGGGCTGAGAAGCCTTGGTTCTCCAGATGTTGTTAGGCTCCAATTCCCATCAGCCCCAACCAGCATGGCCAATAATGCTCAGGGGTGATGAGAGTCATGTTGTTGTTTAGTCGTTTAGTCGTGTCCGACTCTTCGTGACCCCATGGACCAGAGCACGCCAGGCACTCCTTTTTTCCACTGCCTCCCACAGTTTGGTCAAACTCATGCTGGTAGCTTCGAGAACACTATCCAACCATCTCATCCTCTGTCGTCCCCTTCTCCTTGTGCCCTCAATCTTTCCCAACATCAGGGTCTTTTCCAGGGAGTCTTCTCTTCTCATGAGGTGGCCAAAGTATTGGAGCCTCAGCTTCACGATCTGACCTTCCAGTGAGGACTCAGGGCTGATTTCCTTCAGAATGGATAGGTTTGATCTTCTTGCAGTCCATTGGACTCTCAAGAGTCTCCTCCAGCACCATAATTCAAAAGCATCAATTCTTCGGCGATCAGCCTTCTTTATGGTCCAGCTCTCACTTCCATACATCACTACTGGGAAAACCCTAGCTTTTACTATACAGTCATAGTTCGACAATATCTGGAGGGCCAATAGTTTCCCATCCTTGGTGTAAAGGAAAGGGTAAACTCTTCTCCCCTTACACCCCCCATTGCTTCTTTACAGTACCCAAAAAAATGTTAAGGGCTCTAATCACAAATCTCTGTTTTGACCCTTAGCTACACACTTAAAATGAAAAATGCTGCAAATAACATCTACAGCAAGAAGAAACTGCAGTGTGCACACCAGAGAAACTACCGGTAAATATTAGTATTCAGAGGCTGCAGCCAGCTATGCAAACAGTAGTTGATGACACTCAGAAAAAAAGGGAAAGGTGAAAAAAACACTTTTTTCCAAGTTACAAAGCAAAATAATGACATTCAGATTTGAATAACCTTCAACTGCAGTGTCTGCCCTGCAGGTATTTGCTGGAGCTAATAAATCCCCTATTTTAGGTAATGAGACAGCAACTTCAGCTGTGTAAGCAGAGAAACGGACATGGATTTTAATAATTCAGGCAGAAAAAGCAAAAGAGGTGTGGAAACAAAGTGAATTTCATTCTGAAATTTAAAATGATAAAACCTGATGTGTGTGTGCATGTGTATTTACATCTGAACAGCTGAAAAAGATGGTAGGCGAAACATTTTACTGTAAGAATTTAATATCTGTGTTTTCTTAGTCTCTATAACATGCATTCAGAGTGTAGTATAATATGTGGTATGTATTGAGCTAAGCAAAGCTGCAATTGAACCACTTACTTGACTGCCTGAGGATCTCACTCTGGAAATCCCTGTACAAAACACAGACAACATGTTGACTTCTTATGATTTTTAAGGAGTTTACCCCATCCTGTAGCCAGCTATAAGCTCCCTCTTAGTACCAAGGAATCGGGTAGGTTACTGATCGTTGTTTAATTGTTTCCTCCCAATCAATCTGATCAGTTTAAAGATGAAAAGTTTGGCCAGACACTTTCTTTTTCCTCTTGAGTGTATACATTAATTCACCTATTTTTATCTCATCCACGGCCATTATGGAAGTCGCTACAACATAGATTGCATCGCCAACTATAAAATTAGAAACATCTAACAAATAAATGTAAAATGTTATGAGACATAATGATGACAACAGTTAAGAAAAGATAGAGCAAAATAACAGTAAAACATAATGGAGAACAGGGTGTTTTGAGTTATCCCTCTTCCACTGAAAAAGGCCCCCTGCAATAACAGTTGTTGTTGTTTAGTCCTTTAGTCATGTCCGACTCTTCGTGACCCCATGGACCAGAGCACGCCAGGCACTCCTGTCTTCCACTGCCTCCCGCAGTTTGGTCAAACTCATGCTGGTAGCTTCGAGAACACTATCCAACCATCTCGTCCTCTGTCGTCCCCTTCTCCTTGTGCCCTCCATCTTTCCCAACATCAGGGTCTTTTCCAGGGAGTCTTTTCTTCTCTTGAGGTGGCCAAAGTATTGGAGCCTCAGCTTCACGATCTGTCCTTCCAGTGAGCACTCAGGGCTGATTTCCTTAAGAATGGAGAGGTTTGATCTTCTTGCAGTCCATGGGACTCTCAAGAGTCTCCTCCAGCACCATAAATCAAAAGCATCAATTCTTCGGTGATCAGCCTTCTTTATGGTCCAGCTCTCACTTCCATACATCACTACTGACCTCAAAGAAAATTTTCTGGTCCACCAAGATTCCACCCGTTTTGCAGTGGCAGCAAAAGAGGGCAGGGAATGAAAGTAGAGAAATTGCTTGGGGGGCAGGGGACAGAGAGCCTGACAGGGGTGAAAATCATCCATTCTCCTGTCATCAGATCAATGATCTAATGCATGGGTAGGCAAACTAAGGCCCGGGGGCTGGATCCAGCCCAATCACCTTCTAACTCTGGCCTGTGAACGGTCCGGGAATCAGTGTGTTTTTACATGAGTAGAATGTGTCCTTTTATTTAAAATGCATCTCTGGGTTATTTGTGGGGCATAGGAATTCATTCATATTTTTTTTCCAAAATATAGTCTGCCCCCCCACAAGGTCTGAGGCACAGTGGACCGGCCCCCTGCTGAAAAAAGTTTGCTGACCCCTGATCTAATGTGTGGAGAAGGGATGATAACCTCACTCCTCAGCTGAGCTGCAAGGGGAGGATCTGTGCCTGTTTATTTGTGTGTATGTGTGTGTGCTTGCACATGTGTGAGTAGCCACACCCACTTTTACTCACACCCAGCTCTGTCTGTTGTGTGCCCCCCCCCAAAGGGCTAGCCAAGCTTTAGTGTGTCCCTCAGGCCGAAAAAGGTTAGCCATCTTTGATACCAGGGGAACACTGGCTGGAATCTTACCCAATAATGGTCTAAGGGAACAAGTAGTTTCTTAAGGTAGTCCTTTAGATGTCCTGGTTCCAGGCCATTCAGAGTTTTAAAGGTCAGTATTAGCACTGTGAACAAGGCCTGGAAACAGACAGCAACCAGTGAAGCTGGCATAATATTGCCATACTGTCCTCCATTTGCCAAATCCCATTTACTGCTCTGGTGCTTCATTTCAGATCACTTTTCAACAGCTGCCCCCATAGCTAGAGATGCAGCTCCATCTTGACTCGCCCTATCAATTGTCCCCTTAAATGAAAACTGATCACAAACTTGCATTCCAGTCCTTTTCATTTGTCCCACAGGCTATTTGATATATTTTGCATGCAGTAAGGATCTATCAATTCGACAATCATGCAGCATTTCAGCTGTAATAACAGATCTCAGGGAGGGGGGGGGGGAAATAACCCTATAATTTGCTTTCATTGCATAGGGAAAAAATCTAGGGCAATCTTAAAGCAATGAATAACTTTTCAGATATCAGTGCACATGGATTGGAAGAGGTAGTCATTTTCTCATAACTGCCATGCCACAAAAATCAGATAGAATCATTTCAGGAACATGGTGTTGTCACTTGCTTGAAGGTTATTTTTGACAGCAGAGTGTTTATAGGAAAAGGGGGATGCAAGAAAACACTCTCTGCAAGAAAAAATCCAACCATTAAAGGTCTCCCTTTGTTGTTGTTGTTATATTATTTTTAATAATAATAACATTTTGCATCCAGATTGCACTTGTTGGGAGTTAAAGCCCTTTATGTTCGTTTTCTCACTAGTCTTTACAACAGTCCATTAAGCAAGTCAGTATTGTCATCCCTGTGTTGCAGAATGGGAACAGATGGACCTAATCCTGAGATACTTTGACTTGCTTAAAGCTATTCTAGAGAGATCAAGTCTGAGGTGAGATTTGTATTGAATATTAGTGTGAATTTCTCTTAACTTTTGTGTACAGTTTTGGCTAATTTGCATATTTTTTTCAAGCAATATAGCATACATTTTGTATGACATTTTCGTGTGTGTGTGCACACGCATACGCAATTTGCTCAATATACACTTGATATACATTATTTGGTTGGACAACTCTGAAAAATTTGGAAAGGCCTGAGTTAATAATGATAGCTGTGTTTTGGTTTGTGCATTGATTCAAGAAATGTAAATTAGGTAGTTTCTCATTAAGATGCAAACTAATTTGAAAATCTTCCCTATCCCTATCCTCAATTCACACTTAGCCACTACTTAAAAACACACCAGTTAGCCACTGTTTGAAAGTACTACACTACATGGTTGTTGTTTATTTAATGTATTTTTATTAAAGATTTTCTTGGTTTAAAAAAGTATGTGCAATGTCTCTCTCTTTTTCCCCAAGTAACATTTTTTACAGATTAGTTTCATTTGTTGAGACATTAGGAAGAAAAGGGGGAAAGAGGTGGAGGGGAGAAAGGTGAGTGGGGGTAGGGTCGGGTAGCAATGTTTCTGTTTTACTTAATATATGTGGGGGTTTGTGTCAGCGTCGCTTGTGCAGGTTCTCTGCTATTCACTTGTGTTCTACACTACATTGTTTAGTCACTGACTGATCAGTATAGTTAAGTTGGCAAGGAGCAAAGAGATTTCTGATACGAAATCAGTACTTCATGGCAACCATGGGACCAACTCAACCATGTCATCAACCCAAGACATCAAGCAAGGCATACCCTCAACGTTGTTGTTGTTGTTGCTTAGTCGTTTAGTCGTGTCTGACTCTTCGTGACCCCATGGACCAGAGCACGCCAGGCACTTCTGTCCTCCACTGCCTCCCACAGTTTGATCAAACTCATGCTGGTAGCTTCAAGAACACCATCCAACCATCTCATCCTCTGTCGTCCCCTTCTCCTTGTGCCCTCCATCTTTCCCAACATCAGGGTCTTTTCCAGGGAGTCTTCTCTTCTCATGAGGTGGCCAAAGTACTGGAGCCTCAGCTTCACGATCTGTCCTTCCAGTGAGCACTCAGGGCTGATTTCCTTAAGAATGGATAGGTTTGATCTTCTTGCAGTCCATGGGACTCTCAAGAGTCTCCTCCAGCACCATATTTCAAAAGCATCAATTCTTTGGCGATCAGCCTTCTTTACGGTCCAGCTCTCACTTCCATACATCACTACTGGGAAAACCATGGCTTTTACTATACGGACCTTTGTTGGCAAGGTGATGTCTCTACTTTTTAAGATGCTGTCTAGGTTTGTCAACGTAAGTTCCCTCAAATACCCTCAACGTAAGTTCCCTCAAATACCCTCAACGGTATCTGAAAAAGTGTGCATGCACACAAAAGCTTATACCCAGAACAAACTTAGTTGGTCTCTAAGGTGCTACTGGACAATTTTTTATTTTTTAAATTTATTTCAACTGCGTCAGATCAACACAGCTACCTACCTGAACCTCAATGTAATTCTTTTCCCCAAGTGTTGTGAGGGGTGTTCTGAAGGTAAAGACAGTCCATTATGATTATCATCTGGTGAAGTTGGGATTGGTGGTGACAATTCCCTTGCAGGGGTGGTGGACCTGTCTGAGACAGATGGAAGGTGGTGGTTTCTGAATGCTCTGCGGTATGTTCAAGCAGAGAAAACCAATGATTCCATTGAAGCTCTGGTCTCACAGTTAGTCTAATTCAGCAGGGCTCTTCATACATATGTACTTAGCTATAACAACTTGTGCCATTGCCTAAGTTTGAGCTCAGGTTATCTTACACAAGTGCCTTGTCTCCTATGCAAGCAGTTTTGTCTCTTAAGAAACAGAGGAGAAATGGGTTTGTTCAGACATGATTCACCTGCAAGGCTTATCAGCTGTCCTTCAGATGACTTCTACTACCTATAAAACACCCAGAATCAAATTCCAAGTATAATCATGGAAAATCTGAGGAGGGGCGAATAAATTCTATGACATTACTGTTCTTCAAGCATTTTCCATTTTAAACAATTTGTATTGTTCATTTTTTAAGAAAACAAAAACATGTTTTTCTTGAGGTGATATTAAAGATGACCAGACTCATTGCTCTGGAGAAATGGTAACTGTAAAGTTCATGAAAGCCAGATGTGTCAAGGAGACTCATGGAAATGATCACTATCAGCAGCCTAGCTGCAAATACAGAGAGACACACTGTTCCTGCCAGCTTTTTTGCTCAAGCAAATTATGAGATAAGCAGACTTTGTTTTGCATTACCCATTACTTGCCGGTTAGTATCTGGCTTTGCATCTCAGTCAGAGAATTGCATGTGTCTTTGTCACATTGCTATAAATATCTGGATGCTCCTTTAGTCTGCCTCAGTAGCCTAGTCAGCCAAGAAATGGCCTGCTTCTCCAGTGCTGAGGAAGGGACACAAAAGCTACTTCCTTCTCTAGAAAGTCACCCCACAACCTGAGCACACACCCACACACACCTACACACACATAGTGAGACTGCATAAGAAAACCAGTATCGTGCAGCTGTTAAAGATTCCATTTTGCAGGGAGACACTGTGGGTCAGTTGCAGCGCAGTGACTTTGCATGTAGAAGCTCACAGATTCAATGCCCAGCATTTCTAGATATGGCTGGCAATATCCTATCTGCAATGCTGGACAATCGCTGCCAACCAATGTAGAAAATTCTGAACTACCGGTAGAGGACTCATGGTCTCACTTGGTATAATGCTGTTTTCTGCATACCCTCCAATGAAAATAGTAACATTCTATTCTTGTTGTGGACCGCCCTGAAATCTATGGGTATAGGGTAGTATACAAATGTTGTTGTTGTTGTTGTTATTGTTGTTGTACATCAGTGTCGTCCCCCCACCCATCCCCCTATATTCCAATGGAATATGGGGAAAGGGTGGGGCTGGCTGAGCTGCCCCAATGGCTGTTAGCGAGAGGAGTATGTAACAATACCATACCGGCAAATGTCTTGGTTGTATGCAGGAGCCTTAGGTGATACATGGTAAAATCACAAGGCTTCCATCACTCTGTCTTGGGTGCCAGAGGAGGCACCTGTACTGGATGTTTACAAGACAGCACTTCTGTGCCAGAAGCATAGTATCTATGGTGGGCAGCTATGACCACCAAAGGGCTCCTGTGGGCCCGCACAAGAGGGGCCCCTTTAGGCCACTCCTGCTGCCACCATCACTGTAGTTGGATGCGTTGAGCAGTAGCCTACTGACTGGCAGAGTTCCGCCCCTTCCCCTCTCCATGGGTCCTGCTCCACTACCATGAGGGGCTGGGCCACCTCCACCTCCTCACCCTGCTCCCCCCTTTCCCTTCCCCCTTTCCCCCTATTCAGGACTCTGTGTGACACAGTGAGAAGCTGTGATGGCTTAAGGGTTTTCATGACAGTCCTGGCATTTTCTGGACAGTTGGAGACAATGCTTTCTGTATTCTGTGTTTTCCATGTTCCTGCGGTAGCGTAAGGCAGAGGTGGGCAGAAATTGGATCTGGGTCTACTAGTAGATGTTTGAGTGATTTACAGTAGATTGGTAACAGTTTCTTATTTCCAGTTGTCTTTAGCAACCACTAAAAAAATCTTTCTCATTCCACCCCAAAAGCAACTAGACTGCTGAAAAATACGCTAGCAGTGGATTTTTATGTGAAAGGATTGGTGGATTTCTGATACTGAGAACAAATTCCTAGTCTATGTGTGTGCTCAGAGGAACCCTGTTTCTTGAATGCCCACCTGTCTGAACCTGACTTCAGTTGGTGAACCTCAGGGTTCTAATAAAACACACAAACACTATGTAGACTGTGCAAGCCTGAAGTTTGCCACTCGTGCTGTAAGGCTGTTGTTTGAGGAAGAGCCTGGATGAGCATCTCAGTGCATCTAGTCAAGAAGAGGCACCATGTGGCCTTCAAATACATGCTCTCAAAAATTTAGAACCTTCCTGAAAAGTAAAACCACTGAATGTACTGGTGCTGCTCCAAAGTAACTCTTGACTCCTCATGGATAGTGTTTGAAGAAACACGAAAGCAAGCTGAAGGAGATGAGGAGTGTCCAAAGAGCTCCAACCACGTGTATAGATATTTTCTTCCCTTCCAACCTATTCGGAATATGCCAAGTGGCCTGGGGAGAAATAAGTACAACCAGAGTATCTAGTTAGCATTTGTGGCTTAATCTAAACTGGGACAGCAGGCCCATAAGGCAGAGCTTTCCAAACTTTTCATGTTGGTGACACACTTATTAGACATGCGTCATTTCACAACACAGTAATTCAGTTTTACTAACAATCCGGAGGTTAAACTAACCCCTTTCTAGCCCCATGAGGAGCATGGGGAGTGTTCACATGACACACCTACACACTGCAGACGACACACAGCACACAGTTTGGAAAGCTCTGCCATAAGGAACATGGACATTTACATTAAGGAAAAGTTTGCTCAGTGTTTCAAGGTCATGTGTGGAAGTGGCACTTCTCTTAAGAGATGTTGCTAGTCTAATCAAACATTTTTCTTGCTTCGCTCATAGTTCTGCCCAAGCAGAAGCTTGGATAGCAGAATATGATGGGTTTCATACTGGCATATCCGAGATCTGAAACAGGCCACAGGACCATTCGGCTGCAGCTGTAGACAGGACTGACTGGGGGGGGGGATCTGTAATTTTTCATTATTCACCTCACATTCTCACAGTTTGTTCCTCTGATTATTTTTTATTATTTTTACTTTGGAACCCTTAGGTTTCCACTGCACTAATAATGACTCTAAATGTTCACTGATTCTTTAAGACAATTTCATGCTAACTCATTTCCAATTGCAATGTTGCCCTGGGGAGGGAAATGTTCAGCTTTATGCTACAATAAAACCTGTTGCATACAAATTAAAAGGTGCTCTTTCCAGCATATCAAAGTCAGTTTGTCTACTGATTCAAATACAAGCATATACGGTAATTAGCAGAAAGCGTAGTGCTCTTGGATATTAGACAAGCCAAACATGGTATAAATATACATTATTTTCCCTTTGAAAATGACCCTTGGTCATAAGCATTAAGAAGTTGGGACACTTCTGGTATATATTTTTGTGGAAGTCTCCACTTCCAGGCTGGATAGCAGAATATGATGGGTTTCATACTGACAGATACAAGATCTGAAACAGAACTCAGAATCACTCTAGATCTAATCATGCCTGTGGACTGATAAAATTGTCATCAGACAACATTGTGAATTGCAGGTCTCTGCACATGTACAGCAAGATGTTCTCAGCCCTTCCCTTTTTGTATTTTACATAACAATTATGATTTCTTTGGTAGGGGGTACACTGCTCTTTGTGTGCAAATGCATCAGTGGAGTGGCTGCTAGTTTGTTGTGGTTTGTAAAGAAACTTGAATCCACAGCTCTGGCAGGTGCAGCCTCTGTGTAATGTGTACACATGAAAAGTAGCACAGAGCAAATGAGAGACAAACCAAATCAACCTATCTGGTCTGGACAGGAGCTTAATGGGAATCTGAAAATGCCCCCAATGTGACAAGCAAGATAAGACCCAATACTAAGGATGGATGCCTTACAATATTCAAAGAGAAAAGGCTATCCCTCACAGGAGTTTGTTCCGGATATTTCCTTTCCCCCCCCCCCAGGTTTCTCCTCCCTCCCCAACACACACAATGGCAGCCCTGACAGATGAGTTATTTTCTAATATTTTGTATCCATCTTTTATTTCTTCTTTCTCATGTTGGTGTGGGTGAGGTGCACCCTGTTTGGAACCAATTTTCTTATTCCTTTTAGTTTCTTTCTTTGACACCTGATTTATATTACTTGCTTCCTCAAGAGAACAGCAATATCAAAGTTCTTTTTTTAAAAAAATAAGCAAATTGATATAACGAATAGAATAGCAAACATAAATTCAGAGTGCTTCTCTGGACTATTTCATAGTACTGGGGGAAACAAAATGGTGGCTACTCCAAATCTTCACCACTAAAAAGAATCTCAACCCTCCACCACCCACCATATATATGTAGATAGATTGATAGATGATAGATTGGTGTGTGTGTGAGGGCGGGGAGGGAGGAGAGAGAGAGAGAGAGAGAGAGAGAGAGAGAGAGAGAACAGCCCCAAACTCTCCAATCTTACTCATATTGACTTGGAAACAACTCTCACTGATTTCAGTGGGGGGGGTTCTCATGCAGCTATAACAAAGGATAGTGCAATATAAGTTGACTGTGTCAGGCAAACAACCCTGAGTGGGGCAGGCATCTTCTCCCATATACTCAGTAATCCAACTGGCATATTACGAAGGAGAGGACAACTGAGTGGCTTGATACTTGTGTTTACACCCATAGAGAACAAGGATTTTACCAACCTCTTAACACATTACTACATCTTATTAACATCCCTGCCATTCTCCAAAGGCATTCATATGTCATCAATATGTTTCCATGGTCTCCCAGCTAATATGAATAGCAATTCCACATGGAGCACAGGAGTGGCCCCATCAACGGACAGGGTGAGGAGCCTGCATCATGGGGTACAAAGGGAAGCAAATTGTCTGTGGTTTAGCTTGTTACCGCAAAGTTACCACCAGTGAAATGGTTATCGTCTGGGGGGTTTTCTCCGTCATCCTTCTTAGCAAGGGGCTACCATACAGTATGCTGACAAAATGCTTTTTAGAAAGTCTGCATCTGTTGCCTCTCTTTCTCATCTTTGTGCTTGTGGACAGTTATTCCAGCTTCAAATCCTCACTCCAAATGCTAGGACAGAGAGGTCAGGCTCTGCAGTGCAACATGTTCTGTGATGGAATTCACTGATACAAGGAAAGCTTTCCAGAACATTATAAATTGCCGTAGATCCATTCTGTGCAGTGCTTCACTTTCTCCTTTCGTTTGTAATAAAATTGACAGCCAAGGAGAATTTGCAGCATAGGAAGAGAAAAGCAAGCAAAGCAGCCAGCAGGAACTGCAGTCCAGGAAACATCTGTTGACTGATTCTGGTAAATAGCGACTTTGTGTATCTCGGAGATAAAGAAACTCGGTCCTTGACAACTGTGGTGTAGCTGAAAGGCAGAAAACTCAACCAGTTGTGGTGATAGCATTATACTATAAGGAAATATGGGCTCCAACAGTCACATGCTGTTCCTTGTCATTATGACAACATTTTTCTATAGCATCGAGAACCAAATGCAGAACTGCAGCTGAAGACTTACCAATGTGTTGAACTGTGTGATTACCTTAGCCTTGGAAGTGTTGCTCTTTTTCATAAGATCTAAAATAATATTTGGCTTTTGTACCACAGGATTTGAGGCTTCAGTCTCATTAAGCTGGTGCCCTCTTTAACTCATGATTCTCAAAAGTGCTTCACTATACAGAATTTGGACCATGCATTTATTCAGCCTCATCTGCCTGGAGATTGGAAGGCAGTTGACACACACCAAATTGTGTGTAGTTTTTGACAGCAGGCCACATTTCTGGTATGTAATATAAGGGAAATAATAACACACACTTGTGACCCACACATGGTTTCATTTTGTTCATTTTGTTTAAAATATGTGTTTCCATTAGCTCAAGGAGCCTAGCAAATCAGACACACAAAGAATATGCACATGACATTGTTGTTTTTTTAAAAAAAACCAAGACCAGAATAGTCATTAAAAAAGAAGTAAAGTTGTTGAAATCTATCTCAAAACAGCCATGGATGCAACTTGCATCTCCACTGCCACTCAGTGAGCTGTTAGAGTACAATGGGTAACCACAATGTGATATTTTTTATTTTATTCTTACTAGCTGTTCCTCTGCCAAAGTTCTTTGAGTTTCAGAAGTATAAAAGTACAAACAACAGATAACCCACACCTACAAAACACATTGGGTTGTATTCAGTTGACCTGAATACATTGGGTTGTATTCAGCTTAAGGTGGAAAGGCCATAGCTCAGTGATAGAACATCTGCCTTGCAAGCAGGAGATTTCAGGTTGAACCCCTGCCATCTCTATGGGTTGGGAGAGACTCCTGCTTGAAACCCTGAGCTGCCCCTGCCAGTCAGTGTAGACCGTACTGTGCTAGATGAACCAATGGTCTAACTTGGTATAAGGCAGCTTCTTATGCTTCCTAACTTTTATTCAGTGCAGACCCACCTAATTATGGGCCTTAGCTAGTAATGGTCATTCATTTCAGTGGGTCTGCTCTGAGTAAAAGTTAGTTTTATACAACCCACTGCATGGTTTTCAATAGTGTCAACAGAGTTCACATCAAGGAGAGATGAGAATTGGCCAAACCCTTCGCTAATCCACTGACAGATTCCTTCCATCAATGAAAGCTTCAGATGTCAGGAGGACAGGTCTCTAAGGCCAATCTCAGTACAAGGCAGGATCACACCGGAGAAGGCAGTGATGGGGAAGTTGTTGAATTAAGAGTGGGGATTATTTTTATTCACTGCAACCTTGAAGAATGTGTACCTGCTCCCCAAATAATAATAATATTTTTATTATTTTACCCTGCCCTTCTGACTGGGTTGCCCCAGCCACTCTGGGCAGCTTCCATCATATACAGAAACATAATAAAACATCAGACATTACAAACTTCCCTATACAGGGTTGCCTTCAGATGTCTTCTAAAAATTGTAGAGCTACTTATCTCCTTGACAAATCAAGCACTGTCAGTTGGTTGCATTTTCAGACAGTTGCAATATGGGTTCCTGCTTATTTCTGAAGGCTACCATTTTTGCCAAAACTATACTTTGGATGCCAGCTACCACCAATTGCTCTGTGGGGAGGACAGGAGATCAAGAAGGGCAGGTGGGGAAGTCACCACAGCCGGCTCCAGTTGGGCTGTTGTTTGCCCTTCACTCCACATGGCCAAAAACCAGAAACTGTCCTGCGGTAAGGTTGGCAGGTGAAGAAGACATCTGGAGCCTGCTGTTGCTCCGGCTGGAGTTTCTCCTCCACACACAGAGCCATCTTCTAACAGTTGGTCTCTTGTAAGGGCCCGGCCCCCTGACTTCTAATGTACTGCTATTGCTTACTGTGTTCTTTTTTAAGTGCCTTAAGTCACATGTAACTCACCTTAGAAGGATTTGCATCCTGAAAGGTGGAGTATAAATTATTGTATTTTTTAATGTTGTGTGTTTATTATTGCCTGTTGTGCACTTGGCAGGCAAATAGGTCATGGTGGAGCCTGGGGGTTGGTTTAAAGTCCATTGATGTCACAAAATGAAGTGTCAAGATTTGACGATGACCACTAGCTTAGATGGTTCCAAAACAGGATTAGACAAATTCATGGGGGATAACGCTATCAATAACTACTAATCATGAGAACTATATAGAGCAGCTGCACACTAACAAATACAATCTTCCGGCGCTTTATTTTTCTGCAGAAAATTTCCACCTCATAAGTTAATTAGTAGCGATGAATGGATGCCAACTGCAATTAAATATTATGCAAGCTTGGCAGTTCAAAGTTTGTAGCTTTGTTTACTATATACAAATAAAACAGGAAAGCTAAATTAGATCACTCTCCAGAGCATTAGAAAATGTTCCAATGCAAATGACTCTAATTTCCATTTGGTAAGTTTTCCAGAAAACCCACATCATGGCTGGGAAGCGTACTCACATCCCACTTCTTTTTAGATGGACATAACTAAGGGCTCATCCCTACTTCTGCATGTCCCATGACTAGAACGGTTTTCCACTTATCCTGTGACTTTCTAGGCACAGGTCCAATGAGTTTTTCATCTGTCCTGCCACTTTCCCCAAGAAAACCCACTTTTTACCACTGAAGACTTTACCCTCCTCTATTCAGGGCTCCCAAAACAGTAAAGATTGTTCTTTCTGTGCTGGTGATCACAGGTCTTCTGCATTTTAATGGACAGATTTATGTCTGAGGATGACATAGGTGTCTCTCTTGCCCTTAAACCCACAAACCTGGCCTGGCAAGTAGTTTTTTTGAAAGCAGCTTTTAGGCAGGCTGGGAAGTGAGGTTTTAAGGACGAAACAAATGTGCAGGGATGACCCGCTCTGTGTGTCTATATTTCCATGAGTGTATGCTCACCTGAGTGATTGATGTCTATGTGAATGAGTTTGTGTGTGTGTGTGTGTGTGTGTGTGTGTGTGTGTGTAGTGCCAGATTTACGTATAAGCTACACAAGCTATAGCTTAGGGCCCCACTCTCTTGGGGGCCCCCAAAAAATTAAAGGGAAAAAACAACAACAGTGTGGACTACTATGGTGATATTGATATTATATTTTAAAAATGCATTGTATTAACTACAATTGCATTGTACAGGTTATAACACTTAATTTCATATTAATAAAGCTATTTATAATTATTAGTAGTTTGCATCATATATTTACACCTATTATTATTTCATGTTATAGCAAGTTTATAGAGACTAGATTATGAGTCTCTGTAAATTGTGTTTCTAAAGGAACTTTTGTTATTGCCAAATGCCAATGTGCTTGCATTATTAAGTTTGTTATGAATAAAAAATCATTTTAAGTTAGAGCTTAATAATTATTTCACTATTAATATACTTCTTCTTAATTGTATTTCAGTTCAACAATTACTTTGATAAAATACATTTTTTGTTATGTGCAAATGGCGTTAGATACCTATTAGGTCCATAAATTACCATGTAGCATATATTCAACACACACAAAAAGCGACAATTTGTTGTTGACAAAGGACAACTGGACATATAAAGGGCCCCATTGTGTGGACAGGCAGAGTCCCCCAGATCCCGAGCGGCCCCCCGTCATGTGGAATAATGACTCAAGACAACGTGCTATGGGACTAAACTGACCACAACTTTATTAAATTTCGAATGTGGGTAGACCTTGGCTCAGGCATTGGGCGTTCTCCCTCCCCAGTCCCCAGCCGAGGACTTAGGGAGCATCAGGGTTATCCAGTGGGGGGGGGGATGGGCTGGCTCTGGAGAACATATGTTCAAGCAGAGATAGCCACCCCCATTACGCCGCTGCCGCAGGGGAGAGTAATGATGACCTTTCGGCATACAGTCAAAGCCTCCCTTCAGAAACCCCTTTAATGGGGAACCCTGGTACTGCCGCTGCAAAGAGGAAGATGGACTAAAGGATTCCGCCCAAGGCCTGATACCGCCAAAGTTGTGACGTTTTGCTACGGGAAAGGCGAAACCTGCCAATGCAGGGAAATTCCTTTCCGACCCTTTAACAGCGACCTTGACGTGTGAAGAAAAGTTAACCTGCAAACCTGTGAAGAAAGGTTAACCTGCAAAACAAGACATTAACTGAGGGTGGGAGAAGCTCTGGAGCCAAGTGAGGATTCCCAGGTAAGATCCTCCCTCTACTGTGTGGGCAGGTAGTCCCTCCCCTACCTGGCCTGGTCTCCTTGGCAACGCTTCCCCCAGGTGGGATTGGACAGCTGACTGAGGGAGGCGGAGACCTCCAGGTATCCCACCTGAGGGAAGGCGAAGCCAAGCCTATGCTGATGGAGCAGCTCCAGATCCAGGGGCTGTGTGCATCCACGCAAAGGGTGCCCCCCGTTTTATGCGGGGAGCGGTCATTACCTTCCGTAGCTAAGGGCCTCATCAAACCTAAATCTGACCCTGTGTGTGTGACTGCCTCCAGTAACACCTATTGGCATGCGGCCTCCAACCAACAATGCACACCTCTCATGTGGCCTACAGGGACAAAAAGGTTGCCCATTCACCATCACCATATGACTTCCTTGTTCTGTAGATTGCTACAGCAGACAGTGGCTAAAGAAAACCATGATGCATATGTATCTATAGCTTGTGTTTCTAGAATGGCTATCATGGAAGTTGGGCTGTCACACAGAATAAATCCTTACAGCTTTGTAGAGTTATTAAGATTTTATAGCATGCTCTCTCCACAATCATACCTCCAGGTGTTGTGTAACTAGACAAATTTGTTTATTGTGATTTCTCATTCCAGATTCCTTTTCATTAGCCCCTTTGCTATTGAAGAAGCCTTCCTGAATAATATTTATTTAGTTTGCACATCCTGGCTTGACCATGCTTGATATTAATGGTGTGCAATAACCACAAAAATTACATTGAATCTGTATTTGCTGTGTTTGGAAGAAACCCAGCCTGTTTCGGAACTGCTCTGTGTTGTTCTGATTCAATTTATTCTTTGGGTCTAAATCTATTAAATTTGAAGCATTGTTTTGTCCCCATTGACTACACTGAGGAATCTAAAAATGGTTATAACTTTCCCCCCTTTCAAGATAAATGGATGAAATTTGTAAGCAAATCCCTTCAGAGTGGACTAAGCCCTCCAAATTTCAGACAGGTACATTCAGGATCATTCCTGCAGAAATCTTTTAATGTTTATTTTAAAAGAAAGAATGTCTCACTTTTAATTTTCTGCCAGAATTTGATGCCAGTCACAAGCCCTTCAAAGGGAATGAAGCCTGTCAAATTTCATAAGATTCTCCCACAAAGGCAACCATATGGAAAACAGAATTCACATTCAGGCCTCTAAATATCTTGGGGAAATCAATTTGAAAACTGGATATGAGGGATTGCCCTTGGGTAAGAAATTTGCCCATGTTCAGACAAGTAATTCTCATGGCTATTAGGAGCTAAGTGATTTTACCTTCATTTTTAAAAAAATAATAATCTGGAAAAGTCCTTTTTTGTTTCCTTTGCCTAACTTCCTGGAAGCAGTTTTCATGAAGAAAAAAGAGAGAGTGCTATGGTTTTTAACTGTTTGTTGGGAAAAATAAAATTGGGAACAGCGGCGTAGCATGGGTTGTCAGCACCCGGTGCAAGGCAAGTAATTTGCGCCCCCTAACCCGGGGCAAGGCAAGTAATTTGCGCCCCCTAACCCCTAATCTGCCGCCGCTGCCAGCTTCTTCTTGCTGCTGCCTGGGCTGGTCTGGTGTGGTTCTCTCCCGTGCTCAGCGCTGCGCTGGGTGGCCGCTGCACTGTCCCTCCCCCAGATAGTCCCTCGCTCTCTCTCCGCACCGCACGCCTGGCACCCACCCCCTCCACAGTGGGCGGCGACCCAGCGGCTCGGATCGGATTCGCACAGCCAGCACTGCAGTGAGAGAGAGTGAGTGAGCCAGGTAGGGGCAGAGAGCTGCGAGTGCAAGCGCGCGCGCCCCCAGATGTTGCGCCCGGTGCAGCCGGCACCCCCTGCACCCCCCACGCTATGCCACTGATTGAGAAAGAGGTTGGCTCTCCCCGAAGTCTAATCCTGCCACATATGCCCTGCTCTCAGAGCCAAATCTTGGAGAATGATGACTACCCAAGTAAATAGCAACACTGCTTACTTCAACTTCAACATTTCTCCTCCAAATCACTGTGACTGGGATGCACTGGGGAAATAAATCTGATTAAAAATTAGACCTGTCAGATGATCCCTCAATTCTCCACCTCCTCCCCTCTTGAGCATTTTCCGGGTCAGCTTAATTTTGTTTTTCAGGAAAGGGAAAGGAAGTCCTGCATTTAACTTTCTGGAACAAATGAGGCAACAGAGCATTGTTAACAGTGCATTCTGATTTGGGAATATGAGAGTCCGGCCGGAATCATCCTAGTTCACCTCAGTTGGGGTACAGGCGGAGCTGTTGCATACCCCTACTTGATATACAGATCAGGATTAGTACAGTGGTACCTCGGGTTACATACGCTTCAGGTTACATACACTTCAGGTTACAGACTCTGCTAACCCAGAAATAGTGCTTCAGGTTAAGAACTTTGCTTCAGGATGAGAACAGAAATCGTGCTCTAGCGGCGCGGCGGCAGCAGGAGGCCCCATTAGCTAAAGTGGTGCTTCAGGTTAAGAACAGTTTCAGGTTAAGTACGGACCTCCGGAATGAATTAAGTACCGGTACTTAACTCGAGGTACCACTGTATTTCCATAACAAAGATGACACAACAATGTGATGTAGTACAAGGTTTTGGTCACAGGGTGGAGGTACACATTCACAGAAATGGTTCTCAAAATCTTTAGAAGATCTGCAAGCTGTAACTGTCCAAACAAGTGACTAGATTTAGTATCACAGTTAAGTTGGCTTGCACAAATATTTCGACTGGCGTTTCCTTTTCAGGGAATTAATTATTGTTTAAAAGATTTGGACTGGCAGCAGGGGGAGGGGGGATCTCAATTAAATCTTGGGAATAGTTTATAATCCTTTGTCTTATAATGCACAATTGCTGGGAAAGCACATATACAAAAATAGGTTTGAAAGCTGGAGATATTTAGGCTTTGCAAGTTATTCTAACAAGTGGTCAGATATATTTTATTGTCTTTTTGGTTGCTAATGTTCTTTTCTGACATTTGTAATTTGATTTTCAGTATCAGGAAGGCTTTCTTGAAATCGTTAAATCCAGTGCTTTTTTTCTGGGGGCATACAGGGGGATGCATACCCCTAAACATTTTGTGAATCTTTGTACTTTTGTCCATTTACCGTATTTATTTTTCCCAATTTGAACTATAAAATTTTGAGAGAGTACCCCCTAAACATTTTTTAAGAAAAAAAGCACTGGTTAAACCACATCTGGGTTTGTTTTTATAAAATTTCAAGGGTGCTTGGAAATTAAAGCAAGTGTTGAACTACCAGTTTTGATAAACAGATTATCTACTTCACATGTATTTAAATATTTCTTTAAATGAGATATGTTTTTGAATGTATTTATTTTCTGCCGTATTCAAAAGTTTTCTTTCTTTCTTTCAGACAAAGTGTCTGAAACTTTCCACGTTTCATCCCACTTGAAAACCTCTTAAATAATTATTTGCACTTATTACTGATGTGACTTAATAAATGTGTACTTTACAATAAGCCAAAAGATTATTGCAACTAAGGAAGCTTTGAGGGATTACAGCTGTTGGAAGGTTCTACTAGCCAAACTCTGTTTTACTTAACGGGGGGGGGGGGGATATTTCTCAATTCTATTTAAAGCAAATAAGCATCATCAAGTACAAAATAATAGGTTAAGGAGCAAGAACCTGTGTACAAAGCACATTGATTAATGCTTTAATCTACAAAAAAGTTTGCCCTGCTCTTTCCCTCTCCAACTTCATCTCTCTTCTAGGAGTAAAGAATAATACATTGTTGAGAACACTGCTTCAGATATTGGCTAAACAGTTATTTCACTGTTTGGTTGTTCTGTTACCTCACCCAACCTTTCCCCATTTTCCTCAAATGCATCCTTCTGTACAGTTTTTCTACACTCCCACCTGCCCACAAACCCTGACCTCTTTAAGTGCCCTACTAACATCACATTTGGAATTGATGAACTGTGGATATTCTTTTCTTCCTTAGTATATAGTTAACTATCAACACAGGAGCAAATGCAGTTGGCTTCACTAGTTTCCTCTCACGCTGACATTGTAAGAAAATTATATTTCATATTAAAAGGTTACATGTTCCTGTGCTGTTCTCTTGGCTAAAGATGATACTGGGGATGTAATATTTAAAATTAAACATTGTTAATGCATAACTGCTATTTTAATAAGAAAGTCAAATGTTTAATTTTGATTTCTATGTTTTAGTTGGGAATGGAGTCTTGAACAGATCTATGAAAATGGCAGAGGATGAGTAGTAGAGTTCTGAGGATGGCTGAATGAACTGGGCCACTTTGGACAACTCTTTATTGTAAACAACGAGAAGTTAGAAAACCAATACAACAAGGAGTAAGAGCTAGCTAGCTTCTATTTTCTATTTTTATTTTAGCATGCAAGACTATTCAAAACTGTTCCACCTGCCTGTAAAGCAGGCTTATGCGTTTCTTTTGCTTTGTATACTTGTGGATTTATGGCTTCCATCAAAAATAGAAACCATTCTGTGCAGCAAAGATATTGCTTGCTTAAACTCATTATTTGCATTTGGTGTCCTTTCATCCCACCTGTCTTCAAAAGAGCACCTTGCATATGGTTCCCAGATGGCTTCCTATCCAGGCAGACCCTGTAACCTTTACTGCAAAACAACTGCACATGCTTTCCGACAATTATTTAATAATCCTGTTGCTTCCCCATCCCCTCTAGCTGTGCAAGGAAGGAAAATGTAATGCTGGTGGTTAGTAGATTGGCCAAAATGAAAGCCCACCCTCTCTCACATACCTCCTCTCATGTTTCATAGCTTAGCTTGTTGTACTCCCAATTAGCCTTCAAAGAAAGGGAGGAACTTTAATGAGCAAACATTTCATCCAATGATTGTTCTAATTCATCTTAGTTTTAGCTTTGCACTTTGGGAAGTAGAACTGTCCCATAATTGGACTTTGTGTGAATCATAGTATCACACACTGTACAGTGTATTTTGGGGAAGGGCCATAGTTCACTGCTTAAAGAACACCCAAGTTCAATCCATGACATCCTATCTGAAACTCTGGAAAACTGCTGTCATTCACTAGATGGACCCATGATCTGACGTGGTATCATTATTATATTTATTTATATCCCACATTTTCTCCAGAACAGCAGCTCTCACACAAATTGAAGTAACACAGATAAAATACAAAAAGCTAGGAACATATGAAAGATAATCATTAGAAGTGATTTAACTCAGTCAGTTCCTGAAGGCCTGTCCCCACCAAGTGTGCCTGTGACGGTGGTGGGACTGAGAGAAAGGCCCTCCTCAAAAATCTCAGAGCCCAGGTAGGTTTGTATGGGAGAATATGGTCCCCCAGATTGACTGGGCCTAAGTTATAGAAGGCTTTATGGATCATAACCAGCACTTTGAAGTGTACTCCGTATAAGGAAGATTCCTTTCGCTCACTAACATCCTATAACCTTTTAAATGTGTTTATTGGAGAGGGTAGGGAGGGGGCGAGAGGATTATTGGTTTGGTTTGGCTTGTTCTTGTTTTTATTATGCATTTTATATTTTATCTTGTATTTTTATGCTGTGAACTGCACTGAGATCTACGGATAAAGCATGGTATACAATTTTTGTTGTTGTTGTCATTGCTGCTGTTATGTACAGCACCATGTTTATAAAGGCTGCATATCTGAACTTCGTTTTTTGAAGTCACAGGCTTTAAAGGAATGTGTGATTTATTCTTGACACATCTTTTATCCAAGAGTAAAAGCTCTTGAGATTGCTTTTAGCTCAGAAACAAAAACACATGTGACCACTTTGTTTTGCTTCTGTGAAGTAATTAAAGTGGCAGAAATAAAAGATTTGAAAAGTAGCAAATGGTGTTTTGTTCCACAAAGAAAGCTGATAGATCTTACTAGTCTCTTTTTGCATCTGATAGTCATTTCACTGTGAGCTTTTGGAACCCAAACAAAGATCAGGCAGGGGAATTGAACTTTGCTTAGGACACATATTTTGTTCTGCTGTCCTGTTATAAAACTAATACTTGCATACACAGTAGAGGTCATTTCTGCTTTCACTGTTGTTAAGTTTCATTGCTCTTCAGACAGAAAGTTTAATTACTTCTAGACAAAGGGGAGGAGCACAGTATCACAACTGGATGCTCATAGTAAATGATGAAACCATTTCCAAATACTGAGAATTTTAATTAAATGTGTGTAAAATACTTCAAAGATTAGACAGGCTGTTTTTTTAAAAAGAAATGTCGTGCCTTTTTATACAGCATGGATCTTCAACCACTTTTACATTTAAAACTTGCAGCCCTCCTGTGACAAATAATATGCACAGCACTAGGTGAGAAGTATTCGATGGAAAGAAATTAACATCTACATGCAGCCGCTGGGAGAGATCATCAGGGGGTTTGGACTGGGTGTTCATCAGTATGTGGATAATACCCAGCTCCACCTCTCTTTCAAATCAGAACCAATGAAGGCGGTGAAGGTCTGGTGTGAGTGTCTGGAGGTGGTTGGAGGATGGATAGCGGCTAACAGATTGAGGTTGAAGTACTGTTTTGGGGAGACAGGAGGCGGGCAGGTGTGGAGGACTCTGTGGTCCTGAATGGGGTAACTGTGCCCCTGAAGGACCAGGTGTGCAGCCTGGGAGTCATTTTGGACTCGCAGCTGTCCATGGAGGCGTAGGTCAATTCTGTGTCCAGGGCAGCTGTTTACCAGGTGGATGTCGTATGTGTTTTTGGAAATCACCCTGGCCACAGTCCCTCATTCAGTACAATCCTATGGATTTTAAAATCAGATGGGGACCACTGGCAGAGGAAGAGGAGTGCAGGGGAGCGCAGTCCAAGTGTCTCGAGGTGGTGCCGACTTCAACCGTGTCCACTAGAGCGACTATAAATGTGCTCAGGAAGCTATTTGCGACACACGGCTTGCCAGACACACTGGTGAGTGATAATGGGACCGCTTTTACTTCAAAGAATTTGTAACCAAGAATGGAATCCGCCACATTCGTTCCGCTCCTTTTCACCCAGCCACTAACGGCCAAGCTGAACGCATGGTCCGTACGACCAAAGATGAGCTTAGGCGCATAGTGCATCAAGACTGGACTCTCCAGTTAGCGGAGTTCTTATCACCCCAAGAGCAGTGACCAGTCGGAGACCGGCGGAGTTGCTTATGGGGAGGAGGCTCACTACCCTCCTTGATCGTGTGCACCCCAACCGGGCTCTTGAGCAACAGCCATCCACTGTGGTGCGGGGGGCTCCAAGAAGGTTCTCCCCGGGGGACACTGTGTACATCCGAAACTATGGGCCCAGACAGGGTTGGGTCCCTAGTATCATTGCCCACTGTACAGGTCCGGTTTCCTATGAGGTAGGGTTGGAGGGGGGACTGGTTTGGAAGAGACACCTCGACCAGATCAGAGCCAGGGCACCTCTGAACATGGAACTTAAAGGGGAACCAGAGGACAGAGAAATGGGTACTTCGGGAGATTCTGTGCCAGGCCAGGGTGGGAACTAGACAGGTTGCTGGTGACTGAGTTACCCCAGCAGGGCGACTACAGGCTGGAATACTCAGTGGCTCCATCGGCAGTGACCCCTCCGGCGCCAGCCTCCCAGACCGCCCCACTCAGACCGTGGGTCCTGGAGGAACCTCCTGGGTCACCCACTTGGGCACAGGAACCGCGACGGTCCCAGCGGGAGCGGAAAAGGCTGGCACACCTTGATGACTATGTTTGTTCCTTTTGTTAGGAAGTTGGGGGGAGGAGTGTTATGTATTGGGTTTAACACATTTTATGTTACAAGGCACGTTCTAACCAATCATATAAGTGTTGGTAGATGAACATTCTAATGGCAAATAAGCACATGCACTTTCAACTGTTAACGGTCAGTTCCTGCTCGGCATTATTATTGTGTTGTGCAGTCAGTTTGGTTCTTGTTTTCCTATTTGTGAGCTGTTGTCACTGACAAATGTTAAATAAACATAGTTAAGGAACTTCTACTGCCTTGGGCTTCTGACTTTTCCCAAACATTTAACAGGGACCTACTGAATTCAACAGAAATCAGGTGCATAGGATTTTATTTATTTTGTTACAAAAAAAATCTAGATGGCTGTCCATCACCAATAGTTTCCAGCATGTTATGAAACAATATCACATCACATCAAACAATAATAGAATACAGTTATTAAAACCAATCAGCAATTAAATACTGGGGCACAAAATTAAACTTTTGGCCTTAAACAGTCACAGCCCATCTCCTAAAAAGACCCAGTAGAACAGACAAGTTATAAACATGGGAGTGGAATCATTGCCATCAGCACCACAAGGGAGACAGAATTATAGTCAGTGCACTACAACAGAGAAAGCCCTGTCGCTCATTATCGCATAGTGAGCCATGCTCATTGTCAGGATAGCAAGGATACATGCACACACTTGGCCAACTGTGTGGTGTGGATCACTTGTTAAGTGAGGAAGTGTTGCAACAAATAACTAGGTCCCAAATTGCTTTCCAAGTCAGTACTAACATCATAAATTGGCCCCAGTAGAATTTATATAGGCAGCCAGTGCAGATCCCACAGAATAGGTGTTGAGTTGTTATATGCAGATGCACCTGTGAATATACCAGCAGATGTATTTTCAACCAGTGGCAATCTCTTGACCTTCTTGAAGGAAAGCCCAGTATAGTGCATTTCCATAGTCTAGATATGAGCTTTCAAGAACGAGCACCACAGAGAAGGGAATAGCTGTAGTTGGGACAAGATCCATAGCTGATAATATGCACTGCTGGTCACCTGGGCCTCAAGTGTCAGCACTGAGCCAGGAATATCCCCACACTACAAACCTGCTCCTTTAGGGAGCATGCAAGTCCATCAAGCACAGGCCACACACCCAATTCCTGAGCACTATAGAGAAGGCCAGGGATGCATCCTTGCAAGGTGCCAAAGGCTCATTTCCTTTACTTCAAACATTTTTTAAGCCTCATGCTCACCCAGAGCATCACAGGGCTCTTTGCAGCCCCACAAGGCTTCCTAAAATGATAGCTTTAATTTAAGTGGGGGTAGGCTTTTAAAACTTTAGAAAAACCCCATTGTGATTTAGTGCACAGATTTTTCTGTATTAAAAAAAGAAGTTTGAAGAGCATCTTGCACATTTCCTAAAGTTGAGCACAACACACAAACACACAGGATCCTCATGACAGCCTCATATATACAGTGGTACCTCGGGTTAAATACTTAATTTGTTCCAGAGGTCCGTTCTTAACCTGAAACTGTTCTTAACCTGAAGCACCACTTTAGCTAATGGGGCCTCCTGCTGCTGCCACGCCGCCGGAGCACAATTTCTGTTCTCATCCTGAAGCAAAGTTCTTAACCCGAGGTACTGTTTCTGGGGTAGCGGAGTCTGTAACCTGAAGCGTATGTAACCTGAAGCGTATGTAACCCGAGGTACCACTGTACAACATTTCATACTTCTTTACTTATGCACAGACAGGCCACTGGCTCTTTTTAGAATCATAGAATCATAGAATCATAGAGTTGGAAGAGACCACAAGGGCCATCAAGTCCAACCCCCTGCCAAGCAGGAAACACCATCAGAGCACTCCTGACATATGGTTGTCAAGCCTCTGCTTAAAGACCTCCAAAGAAGGAGACTCCACCACACTCCTTGGCAGCAAATTCCACTGTCGAACAGCTCTTACTGTCAGGAAGTTCTTCCTAATGTTTAGGTGGAATCTTCTTTCTTGTAGTTTGGATCCATTGCTCCGTGTCCGCTTCTCTGGAGCAGCAGAAAACAACCTTTCTCCCTCCTCTATGTGACATCCTTTTATATATTTGAACATGGCTATCATATCAGCCCTTAACCTCCTCTTCTCCAGGCTAAACATGCCCAGCTCCCTTAGCCGTTCCTCATAAGGCATCGTTTCCAGGCCTTTGACCATTTTGGTTGCCCTCCTCTGGACACGTTCCAGTTTGTCAGTGTCCTTCTTGAACTGTGGTGCCCAGAACTGGACACAGTACTCCAGGTGAGGTCTGACCAGAGCAGAATACAGTGGCACTATTACTTCCCTTGATCTAGATGCTATACTCCTATTGATGCAGCCCAGAATTGCATTGGCTTTAGCTACCGCGTCACACTGTTGGCTCATGTCAAGTTTGTGGTCAACCAAGACTCCTAGATCCTTTTCACATGTACTGCTCTCAAGCCAGGTGTCACCCATCTTGTATTTGTGCCTCTCATTTTATTTGCCCAAGTGCAATACTTTACATTTCTCCCTGTTAAAATTCATCTTGTTTGTTTTGGCCCAGTTCTCTAATCTGTCATGGTCGTTTTGAAGTGTGATCCTGTCCTCTGGGGTGTTAGCCACCCCTCCCAGTTTGGTGTCATCTGCAAATTTGATCAGGTTGCCCTTGAGTCCATCATCCAAGTCGTTGATAAAGATGTTGAATAAGACCGGGCCCTGTGGCACCCCACTAGTCACTCTTCTCCAGGATGAAGAGGAACCATTGATGAGCACCCTTTGGGTTCGGTCAGTCAGCCAGTTACAAATCCACTGAGTGGTAGCATAGTCAAGACAGCATTTTACCAGCTTCTTTACAAGAATATCATGGGGCACCTTGTCAAATGCCTTGCTGAAATCAAGGTAGGCTACATCCACTGCGTTCCCTTCATCTACCAGGCTTGTAATTCTGTCAAAAAAAAAATCAGGTTAGTCTGACATGACTTATTTTTCAGAAATCCATGCTGACTATTGGTGATCACAGCATTCCTTTCTAGGTGCTCACAGACTGTTTGCTTAATGATCTGCTCCAGAATCTTCCCTGGTATTGATGTCAGACTGACTGGGCGGTAATTATTTGGGTCCTCTCTTTTCCCCTTTTTGAAAATAGGGACAACATTTGCCCTCCTCCAGTCTGCCGGGACTTCGCCTGTTCTCCAGGAATTCTCAAAGATGACTGCCAGTGGTTCTGAGATCACATCTGCCAGTTCTTTTAATACTCTTGGATGCAGTTCATCTGGCCCTGGAGACTTGAATACATCTAAACTAGCCAAGTATTCTTGTACTATCTCCTTAGTTATTCTGGGCTGTGTTTCCTCTGCTGAATCATTTGCTCCAAATTCTTCAGGTCGGGCATTGTTTTCTTTATCGGAGAAGACTGAGGCAAAGAAGGCATTGAGGAGTTCAGCCCTTTCTGTGTCCCCTGTTTGCATTTCACCATCTTCTCCTCTGAGTGACCCCACTGTTTCGTTGTTCTTCCTTTTGCTATGAACATACCCATAAAAGCCATTTTTGTTGCTTTTAACCTCTCTAGCAAGCCTGAGTTCATTCTGTGCTTTAGCTTTTCTGACTTTGTGTCTACACGTGCTGGCTATTTGTTTGAATTCCTCTTTGGTGGTTTCCCCCCTTTTCCATTTTTTGTACACATCCTTTTTAAATCTTAACTCAGTTTAAAGTTCTTTAGATAGCCACCCTGGCTTCTTTAGGCACCTTCCATGTTTCCGTCTCTTTGGTATTGCCTGACGTTGTGCTTTTACTATCTCCCTCTTAACAAACTCCCAGCCATCATGAACTCCCTTTCCTTTTAGTATTACTGTCCATGGGATCTCACCCAGCACTTCCCTAAGTTTTATGAAGTCGGCTTTCTTAAAGTCAAGAAATTGAGTCCTAGTATGCTTGGCTGCTCCTTTCCACTGTATAGTAAACTTCAGAAGAGCATGATCACTCGCGCCTAATGATCCTTCCACTTCTACCCCACTAACCAGGTCATCAACATTGGTTAGGACCAGATCTAAAATGGCTGTTCCTCTTGTTGCTTCTCCCACTTTCTGGACAATGAAGTTGTCTGCAAGGCCAGTGAGGAATGTGTTTGACCTTATGCTCTTGGCTGAGTTTGACATCCAACAAATATCTGGGTAATTGAAGTACACCATTACTAATATCTCCCTTCCTTTTGCATGCTTGGCCATCTGTTCCAGGAAGGCATCATCTATGTCCTCCGTTTGGCTTGGGGATCTATAGTAAACTCCCACAATGAGGTCACTGTTATTCTTCTCTCCCTTAATTTTGACCCAAATGCTCTCACTTTGGCTTTGAGGTTCTAAATCTTGGATCTCTTCACAGGTATACACATCCCTGACATATAACGCCACTCCTCCTCCTTTCTTGTCTGGTCTGTTTCTCTGAAATAGATTGTATCCCCCCATTATTACATTCCATTCGTGGGACTTATCCCACCAGGTTTCAGTGATGCCTATTATGTCATATTTAGTTTGCTGTACCAAGAGCTCAAGCTCATCTTGTTTATTTCCCATGCTTTGCGCATTAGTGTACAGACATTGTAGTCCATTAATCATTCCCCCGTGTCTCTTATTTAAGGATTTTTTCCTCCCACCACTAGGTCTGCGTGCTGTTTGCTCCAGTTGGTCTATGACATTTGGATGATCATCTTCATCAATTGATAGACTCCTACCTTCAGGAGCACTGTCTCCCTCCCCCACATTAGTCAGTTTAAAGCCCTCCTGATGAGGTTTCTGAGATTTTTGGCAAAAACATTTCTCCCAACCGTTGTGAGGTGCAGCCCATCGCTTGCCAGAAGTCCATCTTCAAGAAACTGCAGTCCGTGATCTAAGAATCCAAACTGTTCCTGTTTACACCATTTGCGAAGCCAGCTGTTCACTTCCACTATTTTCCCTCTCTCCCTGGGCCACGTCGTTCAACTGGGAGGACAGATGAGATGACAATTTGTGCATTTAATTGCTTCAATTTCCTGCCCAGAGCCTCGTAGTCTCTTTTGATCTTCTGGAGGCTATTGCTTGCAGTGTCATTGGTCCCCACATGAACCAAGAGGAAGGGGTATTTGTCAGTGGGTTTTATGATTCCTTGCAGTCGTTCAGTTACATCTTGGATCTTAGCCCCGGGGAGACAGCACACTTCCCGAGACATCTTGTCAGGCCCACAGATCACTGCTTCTGTTCCCCTCAGTAGAGAATCCCCTATCACCACTACACGCCTCCTCTTAGGTTTGGTCGGGGTTCTTCTGTGAGCTGTCCGTTCCAAGGTCGCCTGCACATTCCCTGAGGACTGATTTTGCTGCTCGTCTTCATATACCTGATCGACTGTAATGAGGGAGAGATCCTCAAATGGAGTCTGCTCTTCATCTTCCATGCTAGGGGAGAGGACCTCAAAGCGACTGTGTATTTCTAAACAATCAGAGCGAACCCTGGGCCTCCTACTTCTTTGAGTCACGTTTCTCCATATATCTGGCTCCTGTGTTGGTGAACTAGCCTCCTTCTCAGGGGAGTCCCCTGTCTCCTCCTTGGTGGACACGGTGTGCTCTGTTGCTTCCAAGAAGAGCTCCAGCTCTCTAATTCTTTGGAGCATAGCTACACGTTCCTCCAGTTGCTGGACTTTGTCTTTTAAGAGGGCAATCAACATGCAATTGCTGCAGGTAAAGCTGCCTGCAACCTTTGGCAAGATGGCAAACATTGTGCAGGAACCGCAGGCGACTGCAGCTGTTCCCTCCCCCTCCATCTTGAGAACGTGTCATTGGGGGTGGCTACAGCGGTCCTCCATGATAAAAAGCGTGAAGACAGAACAAATAACTCACCCCCACAAAAAAAAAACCTAGGTCTCCCCCAACAAACGTTTGAGACTAGCTCCCCTAAATCTAAAAGATGGATCAAACTCTGACCTTTGCACAGGGAGAGCAGCTAATCAGCCACAAAGAAACACACACACACAAGAAAACCCTTTTTGCTCCTTCTTCAACTGCTGCCCTGCAAGCTCTGATAAGCTCCTCCCACAGCTAATCACCTGCCTCAACAGAAACCCTGCCCCCTCTGACCTTTGCACAGGGAGAGCAGCTAATCAGCCACAAAGAAACACACACACACACACAAGAAAACCTTTTTTGCTCCTTCTTCAGCTGCTGCCCTGCAAGCTCTGATAAGCTCCTCCCACAGCTAATCACCTGCCTCAACAGAAACCCTGCCCCCTCTGACCTTTGCACAGGGAGAGCAACTAATCAGCCACAAAGAAACACACACACACAAGAAAACCCTTTTTGCTCCTTCTTCAACTGCTGACATCAGGGCATGTTGTCCAGAAAGGTGGATAGGTTAAACCATTGCTTGTTTTTCATCTCCTGTCACGTGGATCCTGGACCAGAGGAGAGCTGGCTGGGCAATTCCTCCAGATGCTGAGTTACAAAGCAGCTCTTTTGAGTGGTCAAACAATGCTTCTAATGTTTTCTACAGTTCAGTTCTTCTGCATAAATAAAATTGGTCTGCATTCATTGGCATTTCCTAGCAGGGTGATATATTAACACTGAAACATTGCTGAGTTAAATTAAATGCAATGCATAGTGCATAGTTGTATGATATTTTAAGTAAATTGGTGGTATATAAATACTTTCATAAAGAAGTAAACAAATTAATGTTGGCAATTTGGGGGGAGAGATGCATGAGAGAGTGACTTGCAGATAGAAATGTGGAAGATTCCTCTTGTGCACAGACCTTATTTGGGGGTCTGGGACCCTTTCATTAGCCAGCCACATTTCTTATCCTGTGTTCAGACACCTGTGGATAATGTGACTAATTTCTTATCTGCCCTATAGTCAGGGGCAGCTCTTGGCTGGGCTTTAATGTCAGCCACCTGTTAGAGGAGCACTGCTGTATAGTCATGTAGTCGCAGACAATGTTTATGTAAGATAGGAAAGCAGCTTGGGAACTCACCTCAGTGTAGACCAAGACCATGAAAGATGCTACCTACTGGTCATTAAATAAGTCCATCTCTTGCTGTTCTGAGAGAGTTCCACCAACTGAAGGGACCTAAGCTATCTGGCTTTTGCTTTCCTCTTTCATCCCCTATTATTATTATTATTATTATTATTATTATTATTTATTATCATTATTATTATTATTATTATTTATACCCCACCGTCCCCAGCCAGGGCCAGGCTCAGGGTGGCTAATACAGAATATAAATTACAATAAAATGTAATAGAAAAATAGAAAAAAGGAAAAAAAGTTAATTAAAATATGGCTTAAAATACAGCTTAAAATGCAGCCTCGTTTTAGTAGTAGCCCATAAATCAAGACCATAAAGGGAGGAAACATCAGATATTCACCCAAGTCAGCTACCCATGCTGGTCCTACATGGGCCAGCAAAAAAGCCAAGGGAAAATTTATATCCCATATCCCATATAAGGGGTCAGAGTGAGTCCAAGCCGAAGGCCAGGTGAAACAGCTCCATCTTGCAGGCCCTGTGGAAAGATGTGAAATCCTGCAGGGCCCTGGTCTCTTGTGACAGAGCGTTCCACCAAGTTGGGGCCAGTGCTGAAAAGGCCCTGGCCCTAGTTGAGACCAATCTAACCTCCTTGATGCTCAGGACCTCCAAAGTCTTGTTATTTATGGACCTTAAGGTCCTCCTCGGGGCATACCAGGAGAGACAGTCCTGTAGGTATGAGGGTCCTAGGCTGCGTAGGGCTTTAAAGGTCAAAGCCAGCACCTTAAACCTTAAATCTTGCCTCAAATTAAATGTTTGTCAAGGAACAGTACTGGTGTGCTCTTTGCTTTGTACCAATCCCAAAAGAACCTCCGCTCCTGGCAGAACGCCCTACAGACAAAAGAGTTTCCATAAGAACATGAGAAGTCCCTGCTGGATCAGGCCAGTGGTCCATCTAGACCAGCATCCTCTTCGCATAGTAACCAACCAGATGCCAGTGGGGAGCCTGAAAGCAGGACCTGAATGCAACAGAAACTTCCCCTTCTGTTGTTTCTAGAGACTGGTATTCAGAACTATTGCTGCCTCTATCAGTGGAGTTAGAACATAGTCATCAGGGTTAGTAGCCATGGATGTTCTTCATCCACTGTCATTGGCCAAGGCAATTTCCCTGCCGAAACCAGGCCTGAAAACAGATTGAAAGGGGTGCAGGTAATTAGAGGCAGTGCCACTGCCAGGTTATTTTGCCCCCTAGGCAAGACTAACTACTGGCTCGCGCGCACACACACACACACACGCTAACTTCAATTTTCAAAAAAAAAAAAAGGATTGCAGGGAAAAAATAAAAGGCAAAAAACTTGAAACTACTAAAAAAAATAAATTGCAAGATTAAGTAATGCAACAATCTTTGATTGATAAAAAAAAGAAAATGTTTTAGGACACAAATCATTTTGAATTGGGGTGTAAAGAGTCTCTTCAAAGTTTCCATTTCAGGCACATCAATTTTGTTACCAATTCCTTTAGGTCAGGTGCTGATGCTTGGACATGTTCAATTGATCTAGTTGCCAAGCAATTTTGCAACATTTTTGAGCAGATAAGTCTATATAGTTGCCAAGCAATTATATTTTGCAACATTATATTTTGAGTTTAAGTTTTTGTAAGCTGGAGCTTTGAGAAATTGCATTCAGCACTTTCCACTGGCACTGAAAGTGTGGGAATGATCGTTAGAGCAATAGATACATTAGACAAATTATCCAGGAGTTTTTGTTGTAGTGTGAAAAGAAGTACACTTTGTGGCAACATGGACTTTGTAAGTCTTCAAGCAATAGCTATAAGTTCACAGCACAGATCTTCAGTACCATTGTCATTGCTTTTCTCCCAAGAAGCAGGTGTCTTTTAATTTCGTGACTGCTGTCACCATCTGCAGTGATCATGGAACCCAAGAAAGTAAAATCTCTCACTGCCTCCATTTCTTCTCCTTCTATTTGCCAGGAGGTGATGGGACCAGTGGCCATGATCTTAGTTTTTTTGATGTTGAGATTCAGACCATATTTTGCACTCTCCTCTTTCACCCTCATTAAAAGGTTCTTTAATTCCTCCTCACTTTCTGCCATGAAGGTTGTGTCATCTGCATATCTGAGGTTGTTGATATTTCTTCCGGCAATCTTAATTCCGGCTAGGAATTCATCCAGCCTAGCCTTTCACATGATGAATTCTGCATAGAAGTTAAATAAGCAGGGAGACAATATACAGCCTTGCCGTTCTCCTTTCCCAATTTTGAACCAATCAGTTGTTCCATATACAGTTCTAACTGTAGCTTCTTGTCACACATAGAGATTTCTCAGGAGACAGATGAGGTGATCAGGCACTCCCATTTCTTTAAGAACTTGCCATAGTTGACTTCAAAAAGGATGTCTTACTTACTTACATCATAGGAGTCTACACAACAGAAAACATTGTTGCTGTATGTAGATTTTATTTTAATTGTTTTTTATCTTATACTATGGAAATGTACATCCAGATTTTTATTTCCCTTTATTTTGGGGGGGGCAAGAGAGTGGGGCCCTAAGCTATAGCTTGTTTAGTTTATACGTAAATCCGGCACTGGTTGGGACAGAAAAACCTCCACTGCTACATTTCTGCCAAGCAGCTACGACTGAAGCTTTACCTGGAAGCATTTTTGAATTTGGCGCCAGAGGGTCCGTCGCTGAGGTGGTTGCTAAGGACGCCCTGGGCTCTCAGAAAGACGTCGCTATTTCCTCCTTCCTGCATTGAGGCCAGGCTGGAAAAGGCACTCCTTGCGAATCGCTCTGGTAAGGGCTGCTTTCTCCGGTTCCTCCCCTCGCTGAGCCTTTTTGCATAAGGAAAGGGAGCTCCCTGTTTCTCTCTGCGTGTTTCCCACCCTTCCACCCGGGGGGGGGGGAGGGGGAGGCTGCTTGTTTCTCTCTGTGTGTTTTTCCCTCCTCCACCCGGTGAAAAAGGCTGTTTGCTTTGTTTCACTCGGTCACTGATAAAGTCTTCCATCGGGAGCTTGCCTACTTCAGCGTTGTCTGCCTTCTGTGCGTTGCCTTGCATGTAAGTTTGGAGCTGCTGGCTTAGAAAAGCTTCCTTTGCGTTTAAGTTTGGAGCGGCAGGTTTGAAATGCTCTCTCTGTTTGGTTAGAGAGCACAGTTTTTGATTATTATTTTTAAAGATTACAGCTGCTCTTTTTTTAAAAAAAAAGTTCTCTCTGTGTGTTTTGCATTTACGTTTGGAGATGCTGGGGTTTTGTTTACTTTTTTAAAGGCTCTGTTTTTCATTCAGCTTTAGCTCCCCCTTAACTTTTGGCCTCGTCCACTTGGCCCTCAGAGCGATGGTAATAATCTGGCGCTCTGGCAGAAAAGGTACCCTGCCCTTGTTTTAGAACATCAGGTACTAGGGAGAGGGGGGTGCACTGAGCAAGTCCCAAAAGGAAAAGCAGGAACTGGGTGTAGGGCCCCTTCAGAGATCAGTCTGCACCTTCAAATGCAACTGATGATCAATAAAAGTTATTGCAAAAAATAACTTGTACATTTGGCAAAAATAAGTGTTTGCTTGAACAGTTGTAACAGATCCTATCATGGGAAAACACAATTACAACTATATAATGTGTGAAATGACCCTGCATGTCTGGGATTTGAGAGCTGTGTGAGAGAGAGAGAGATTCTAAGGTTTGGTTGTCTTGTAATCCATATTTAATTTCCTAAATGAGAAGTGCTGCTGATCAAGATTTTACAGAGAATCCTCACAATCTCAGAAGTGTAAGGATGGTTGTGGTAGCTTGGTGATACAGCATGAAGCATTTTGCACATGCACAAGCTGAGCAAGTTTTTAAAAGCATGTTTGGAATGGAAGAAAGTGTATTTATCTATTCTAAGTAATAAAATGAGTCTTTGGTGTGATAACAACAAAGAAGGGGAAATGAAAATTACTGGTGATTGTGGGGTACCGTGAGCACAAAGGTATGTTTTGGGCAGAAGCAGGTCAGATAAACCTTGTGGTCACAGACTTCTTTAAAGGATTGCTGTATGAAATGTTTGGTTTTGGATTGTTTTAGATCTGCTTGAAAACAATTTGATAAGTATCAGAAAAGAATTGAGGGTTTTTATTTCTTTTTAATGGGTGCCAGGATAGTGTTCGATAGGACTTCTTTCTGGAAACAGATCAAGACTAGGAAAAGCAAATGGCTGAAACAAAAATAGAAAGTATTTACATTGACTGCTTAAATAAAGGGCTGCTTTGGACTACTGAAACATTTGCAGTACATGACAATTTGTTTACTATATGTCAAACTTTATTCATGACTCTGTGAAGGATTCTGGCAATCACTTTATGTTTTGACATCCTCTCAATTAATATTATAGTGATCTTACATGTCACCTGCGGTGGTATGTAGTTTTGTATGACATTAGAGAATATTGTAAAGCATTTCTTCCTAGAACGATTTTTTTTTTATTTAGAAAACTCTTCTGAGTAATGAGATTACTAATTTAGTAATTAAAAACTGACTTATTAGTATTTTCAAAAATCAATATTAATGTATGACATGGTTCCTCAAGGTTTGCCATCACTGTAACTTACTCTAGCCACTACCTCCAATATCTTTGCTTCTTTTAAAGTTATTGCTCTTGCATGCCACTGCTACACTGAATCTGTGTTTGTTGAAGGTGTGTTTAGTGCCCATAACAGCACTGACAGCATAAGTTTGCAGGAATTCTAAAAGCAAACACACTGTTGTATAGGAAATTAGTTGTATGTTCTAGTTTTTTTCTAAAAATGAAGATGTTATATTTCTAACGATTGCTAGCAGTAAATTAATTTGGATTGGCAGGAAACAAAGATTGAGGTTCTGATTTGGATATATTGAAGAATATGATTTTAAAACTTTTAATTCCTATGCTCATGAACAGATTTGTATGTATTTCCTTTTGACTATAATAATACAAATATGCGCCTGCAGATCTCTTTAACTGCCACCACTCAAAACTATTGCTATGCATTTTGTAAATTTGATAATTTGTTATCCTCACCACTTTGGCTATTGTGCCTCCAATATTAAGCAGAAATGTTGCGGCAACTATAGTTTGTTCACATGCAACACTACACACATGCCAGTGACTTCAATGGAGGAAATGGAAAGAAACCAGATGGCCATATGGCCATTCTAAACGTTTCAGGCAGCAAACAGTGATCTGGATTAAACTCAGAATTATAATTCTCAAGATCCCATAATGCAACAGACTATTCCAGGACCCACTAGTGACATAGCTTTAATGTTATCTTAGGACACCACTAGATAATCTTGTGTGTTTTTCACTTCCCCATGCCTTTTTCAGCTTTCATTGTTGCTGCTGTCTCCAGCTGGCTTACCTCAGGCAGACTAAAATGGGGATTTCCACACTGAACACTGTCTGCCTCTTTTGGAAACAAGTTGTGTCAGACTGAATTTTTTTCTTACACTCCTTCTGACTGAGAAATCCAAGATGTAAAGTAAGGGTGGAGGGAGGTGTGGAGGAAAGTGAGAATGAAACAATTGTTCATGTGCATGGGAGGTAACTGCACAATTAATCAGAGTGCATGGCTGCCTCCTGAAGGATGGCGTATGTCTTCCTGCTCATGAAGTCCAAGTGGTCTGCCCTTGATTCAGTTCTGGGTTTCATGCCATGTCACGTAAAAGGTCCCCTTTTGCATTATTTTATTATAGATATAGAATGGTTGGGGGACACTGAACAGTCCTTTTCCCACCCCTGGTAAAGGCTATATTTGATTTACCGTATTTTTCGTTCTATAGGACGCACCGGCCCATAGGACGCACCTGGGTTTTTTGGGGGGGGAAATGAATAAAAAAAATTATTCCCCCCCCCGCTGCCGCCCCAAGCCTCGCGTGCTTCGGGCTGCAGGCTACCGCCCCAAGCCTTGCGCGCTCGGCGGGACCTCCCACCGGGCGCGCGAGGCTTGCAGACACTCGCCCGAAGCATGGGGAGCCCTCCGGAGGCTCCCCGTGCTCGGGCGACAGGCTGCCGCCCCAAGCCTTGCGCGCCGGCGGGACCTCCTGCCGGGCGCGCAAGGCTTGCAGACACTCGCCCGAAGCACGGGAGCCCTCCGGAGGGCTCCCCGTGCTTCGGGCGACAGCTGCCGCCCCAAGCCTTGCGCGCTTGGCGGGACCTCCTGCCGGGCGCGCAAGGCTTGCAGACACTCACCCGAAGCACGGGGAGCCCTCCGGAGGGCTCCCCGTGCTTCAGGCGACAAGCTGCCGCCCGAAGCCACGCGCGCTCGGCGGGCCCTCCAGCCGGGCGCGCAAGGCTTGCAGACACTCGCCCGAGCACGGGAGCCCTCTGGAGGGCTCCCGTGCTCGGGCGACAGGCTGCTGCCCCAGGCCTGGCGCGCGCGGCGGGACCTCCTGCCGGGCGCGCAAGGCTTGCGGACACTCGCCGGGGCTGCAGGCTGCTGCCTGCAAGCCTTGTGAGCCCGCAGGAACTCCCACCGGGCTTGCAAGGCTTGCGGATAGCTTCCTGAAGCCTGGAGAGCGAGAGGGTCGGTGCGCACCGATGCCTCTCGCTCTCCAGGCTTCAGCGAAGTCTGCATTCGCTCCATAGGACGCTACACATTTCCCCTTCATTTTTGGAGGGGAAAAAGTGCGTCCTATGGAGCGAAAAATACGGTACTTGGAAAAGCTGCCTTTCACACATTTGCAACTACTGTACTAAGAGTATGTACAAGGATGAATGAGGAAAGCCCTTGAAAGGCTAGCTTGTATCTCAGAGTAAATGTTTAGCAGTCCCTGGATTAGGCAGAATGATATCCAGTTAGAATCACCAGAATATGATATGACGTGAACTGAAAAAAAGCTCTTTATTAGGGGGATGATTGTGAGAAATGAATTGAAGCTACTATCTTCAGTTTGGAGAAATAAAGCTACTGTCTTCAATTTGGAGAATTGAAGAAGGTAAACCAGCAGTGACTTTGTATGCTACAGTAGGTTTTGTGCAGCTTTCTATAAAAATGGCCATCTAGCTATATGGTTTATGAAACAAGGGTGCTGCCATTTATCTATATTTTACTCAGGGTTTGTGCCTCTGATAATTTCAAGATGGCAAAAACCTTTAAAATCCCTGCTGCTGCCCATCACTTCATGTTGGATGAAGGCAAACAAGTTGAAACTTCTTCCAGTAAGACATAAGCTGTGCTCAAACATTTTATCTGGATGGTGCATTGGAGCTCTGACCCAGCCACCTCAGGTGCATGGGCTTCTCTTCATAGAATCATAGAATTGTAGATAGAGTTAGAAGATACCCTGAGAATCATCTAGTCCATCCCCCTGCAATGCAGGAATATGCAGCTTTCCCAAACGGGGATCGAACCTGCAATCGGCACCATGCTTTATCTAGCCAACTGAGCTATCCAAGCTTTTCATTTCTGATTTAACTGGGCTCCCAGTCACAGGGAGGTTTCTAAACTTGTTCAACCAAATGCACTTAGAAATCCTCTTTGTATGTTTGCACTAAACACACAAATGTCTGAAGAGGAGCCCCCACATCCAAAGATGTTGGTCTTATTTCATTCTTATGTTGGGGTGAATGTATTACCATGGCTAAAGGAACTATGGTTTAGGAAGCAATGTGATTTTGATAGAGGTTTTCAACCAGTTTTCGATGGGTTGCCCTCCCGTTGAAAGACCTCATTCATAGCATGTTCATTGGTGGCAAGGAGTAACTTTCATCAGTTTATGGTGTTATTAACTTTGATTCCTATCATTCCTACCCATGGGCCAAACTACTTGGAGCAGATGGGAGTTGTCCAAAACTTTTGAAGGGCACCATGTTGGCTACCCCTCTTCTATAAGTAAAAAAACCAAACATAGACAGGGTAGTTCTGATCATATCTGTTCTGCTTCCATTGCTGAATGTGAACAGATACATGCCAGCTGATGCTGTGAACCAGATTTGGCTTGACAAATCCAAGCATTCATTCTTTACAGCACCAGTTAGCTATTTCTAGTCTCTTTTTAGGTGCTTCCAAGTCACACAGCCTGGCCTGTGTGAGTGATATTCATGAACAGCATTTCTTTGAGAACAGCCTCCAATTCACAGGCCCCATAGATGTGACTGTTGCAAACTCTGCCTTTAATGGACAAAGTGCTGGCTTAGATCTATCACTTGGCATCATTGCTAGCTGATTCTCAGAACAGTGCTGGAAATTTACAGTACAGCAAAGAGGGAAGTGCAAGAGAATTGGTGACAGAATAAATAAAATAACAGGCATGTCTTTCTGACGACGGAAAGAATGTGCATCAAGTACCTTTCCTAGCGTTGGAATTTGGCTTCTCAATAAAAGTTCTGAAAATGCCTCTCAAAAGACAGTGAAGATTACTGTTGCATTTTAAACCTGAAGCAAAGCGGTAGCAGCACTTTCAAGAGTTCTGTAGAAAAAAATTAGAAATACAAAAAACTGCATCCTCACAGAGCTCCTATAAATGTAGAGGAGCCTGTAATTTTACCATATCAGTACTTAGAAAGTACTGAATGCCTTTGCAATCACTGAGAAGTCATTTAATTGGATTTCTTGTGCACCTGAAGGCTGAGCAAAAAATATCAGATTTGTACATACAGATATTTATATGGCTGTTGCTGAATGAATCCCTCTTCTTCTTTTTTTAAAAAAGGATGACCTTTATTTTAAGTAGCATAGAAAAATAATAATCTATTTTTATTTGGCACAAGGATACATACTTGGCTTTTAGATTTTTCCAGGTTCATTTTTCTTCATATATTTAGTATGAGACAGAGATAAGGGGCTAGTGATTGTGGGAAAGTGATGTTTTTCCCTCAAATGAAGAAAATTGCATCTCTGAGATTTTATATGCAAAGTTCAGAGTTGTGAAACTTTATAGTAAGCAATTGGACCCAACTGAAGTGTGACTTGAGATGGACAGTGCATGATGTGATTGTGAGTTACTTCTAGGTAAGTGGGCATAGGATTGCTGCCTAAATAACATTTTTGGAGTCCCATTGTATACTTGGCATTCTATACCATGTAGAGTGTAAATACTTTGTGCCATAAAGCCTTTGATGTGCCACAAGGCTTTACTCATTTTTTACTTCTTAGTAGACATGCATTGAACTGTGCTTTTAAGCTGTTGCCCTATATATTTACTTATTAATGTCAACTGAATTTTCTTCTGAGGCTTCTGACATCTGGGTAAACACAATCTGAGTTGCGGTTTTTAGGCTGCATTCACAGTCTACTTAAAAATTACTCAGGATGCTGCAACTGCCCTAGAGTAAGTGGGTTTTTAGCAATAGATTAATGGAAATAACTTTTTAATCTCAAAAGTATGCAGTTGTACCTCAGGTTACATACGCTTCAGGTTACATACGCTTCAGGTTGCAGACTCCGTTAACCCATAAATAGTGCTTCATGTTAAGAACTTTGCTTCAGGATGAGAACAGAAATTGTGCTCCGGCGGCGCGGCGGCAGCAGGAGGCCCCATTAGCTAAAGTGTTGCTTCAGGTTAAGAACAGTTTCAGGTTAAGAATGGACCTCCAGAATGAATTAAGTGCTTAACCCAAGGTACCACTGTACAGATAAATTGAATTAGTGCTATACATGTAAACCTCTGTAGACATTGCTGTGCTTGCATATATACCACAAGGAAGTAATACATTCCACATTACAGGAAAATGACAGCATATTCTCAGCTAGCACATAGGGGAGTTTTTGAAGTGCTGAAAATTCCAGAGTTACTTGGATACAATGAATTTAAATGAGGTTTGTGCACAGAGGAGCCTTGTTTCAGTAACAGGTATGTGTTGTCAAAGAGTTTAGAAGGACAGGAAATATCTTCAATAATTGCAGGAAAATACTGGCCTCTGTTTATTGTAGTTTATGCCAAGGAAATAGCACCAGGCATCTGAGGCAAAATCTCCAAACACAGCTCTTACGAAAGAAAAACCCTCACTGCTGGTACATATTGCTATACTGTATTGGGCTGGCCTTTCAGAAATGCTGCAATCAGTGTTTTTTCTGATTGGTGCATTTGTGGAAACAATATCATTCAGGAATGTCATTCTTGTTGAATTATGATGCAATAGTCATGGTTTGTTTAGGTTTAACGTGAAGGAGGCTTTTGACAGTAGTTCCTGTTCATCCTACAAATGAAATGCAAGTTGTTGTCTTCACAAAATAATTGCGCTGCTTCACTCTGGCTAGAATGTGTGTGCATTTCTTGGTGACATTTTAAAAATTTGAGGATAGCACAGAACTTACTAGCTGCAGGGTAGAGAAGAAGAAAGCATACTAACCAAATTATGTGATCTATGTTTCTGCAATGGATAGTTCCCTGCCTACTGTAGGTTTAGTAACTGTGAAAATAATAAATGGATTCAAAGGTAGGTAGTATAAGACACCTAAAGTAAATCTACAAGTGTATAAATTATAGTGTGATGTAGAAACACTCATAAGAACAAGAAGCAGCTTCACCTTACAGCATAGATGTCAACCCTTCCCAACATGAAAATATCTGTCAGATTTTGGGTTTTTATATTACAATCAGTGGAATATATGGTCATCTGTTTACTGCTGTTGAGTAAAACATTTCTGAACTTCAGTTACCAACCATTTGCTGCTACTTCTATCTCACAGCTTTTCTGTAGAGAAGTGCTATTTCTTGTCAAGGTTCTGAGAACTTTATGCAACTCATCAAACTCTACAGGTAGATATAAAAACCCAAGACAAAGGTATACTACTGTTTGGAATGGTTTACAGTGGTACCTCAGGTTGCAGACACTTCAGGTTACAGACTCCGTTAACCCAGAAATAGTACCTCGGGTTAATAACTTTACTTCAGAATGAGAACAGAAATCGCATGGCAGCAGCGCCATGGCAATGGGAGGCCCCATTAGCTAAAGTGGTACCTCAGGTTAAGAACAGTTTCAGGTTAAAAACGGACCTCCAGAAGGAATTAAGTTCTTAACCCAAGGTACCACTGTATTTTAAAGTAAATTGTGGTCCATCATATTTTGCTTTATGTAGCAGTGCCTTCCTGAAGGGCCTGTTGGAGTTGCCAGGAAGTTATAGTAACAGTGCAAATGTGTGCCTGAGGGAAGGATTTCAGAAAGCAGGGAAATGTGGCTGTTAACTTCAAGATCAACATATCACCTCCTCTGTTGTGTCGGTACCAATTTAGGTCTGTCTGGTCTTGTTGGAAATTATGAAACCAGGCGTTTGTGAGTTTTCCAAAGTGTTTAAACTTCCCCTAGACAGTCAACTTGTTTATCTGCAGTACTGAATGTACCTGTACATGGTATGCTGACTGTTGTAATGAGCAGTTATGCTGGGTTCAAGCTGCCACAATACCACAAAGAGCCATACTTATGCATTCATTTGGAGAAGAATCTCTAATGAGACCAGCAGTGTCTTTTCTCTCCCTGCCCCGCCTTTGACATCTTTAATGTTCTGCTGAAGAACCTAATATTTCATCTTGAACTCCAGTATGGGACTGATCCAATGAATGCAGTGAGAATTCAGCAGATGGCCTAGTTTCTTACGACATATTCAGTACATTCATACATCTTCTCTGAGCAGCTGGATCACTACTATGCCTTAAACAAATCTAAATGTGTCTTTGTTTAGATCAGCATAGAATAATACAAATCACTTGCAGAGTGGTAATGGATGTGGAGCATTTTGCATGCAATAGTCTCTTAAGCATACAGAAACTTTGAGATAGATATATCATAATTTCAAGATGCTGGCTTGCTGTAATTTATTTTTTGACTATTTGATGGAATAAGGTGATTAGTTGGACTCAAAATGTGTAAGAAAACCGACTTTGGGTAATATGCTTTCAAGTTATTGGTTTCGTAGTGACTTCTAATAGATGGGGCTTCAAATTTATTAGGTAGGATGACTCCTAGTGATTCCAGCATGAGTGAATGCCTTGAAATTTTGTCAGAGAGTGTCTGTATGTAGGATGTGGTTTTGCCACACTCTATGTAGTATTTCAAACATTAATTTTAAGTTTAAAATTGTAGGGCTTTAGAATGGTTCTCAGTGGGATATTTAGCTATATAGTCTAAATGCCAAGTTTGGTTAATGAGCCCTCTCATTATCATAGTTAAATGGGTTGTTACTTGGTTGCTAGTGCTGCCGTATTAAAAGTTGTGTTGTTCCCAGGCCATCTGGGTGTGCATATGTTTGTGAGCCCAGGGGAAACGGTGAAGGATTGCTGATTTGCAAAGTAATTATGCTGGCCATAAAAAAGGAGAAGTGTTGGGTGGGTGTGTTTTTTAAAGGAGCTTCCAGACTGAGACCTTGGAAACTTCATACTTGTATGTCATAAGTTCTTTATGGCTTTATAAAAGTATGCTTGCTGGCTGCTCAAAAACAGTATCTAGCTTAATGTTCTCTCTCTCTCTCTCTCCAGGTGTTCAAGATGAATCTGGACAAACTCAGCAAACCTGAACTACTGACACTATTTAGCATTCTTGAAGGGGAACTAGAAGCCCGAGATGTTGTCATAGAAGCCTTGAAGGTAAGCTATAAATTACTGGAAGAGCTGCTATGCAAGAGTGCTGCTGCAGGTGCTATCCTCATTTTCTACCCAAAGATATATTGTTCGCTAGCAATGGTTTATATACTGTTCAATAGTTTATTAGCAGTCTTGGACCTCAAATGCTATGTAGCCACTTATATATTGGCATTTCATGTCCAAATTGATAACAGGTACAGAAAGTGCTATGGTTAAACACCTGGATTATTACAAATTCAAACACGTCATTTTTAAATCAGAATTGTTCTCATTTCATCACAGAAGAATAGTGCAACTTGAAGATCTTGTTCTAACTGTCATGTTTCAGCATGTTGTTCTTAAAAATGGCCTGGTGAACAGCAGCTGTAGGAGTCTCAACAGGCAGAAGCAGCAATACAGATATTTCCTCTGAATACCTAACTATCCTCGCTGGCTTCTATCAGTCCTCTTCTGAGGCCTCCTTTGCAGTACAATATTTGTACAGGGTTAAAGTCTGTTGCTAGGAGACATATTGGCATGATTTGGTTCTCAATAGACGTTATCCGCCTAGTATTTTTAAGTGTTTTCATTGCATTTAATTTATGCTTACCCCTTTTTTGCATTTTCGATTGGCGGTGATGAAAACAAAGCTTGCTTGGTAAATGTATGTATTTGCTTAACTACTTAAAGAATAAGCAAGAAGAATAAACCACCACAATTTTTTGTCTGTTGGTGTTTTCTGCACGTTTCCGAGCACAATTCAAAGTGTTGGTGCTGACCTTTAAAGCCCCAAACCAGGCATAGGCAAACTCTGGCCCTCCAGATGTTTTGGAACTACAATTCCCACCATCCCTAGCTAACAGGACCAGTGGTCATGGATGATGGGAATTGTAGTCCCAAAACATCTGGAGGGCTAGAGTTTGCCTATGACTGCCCTAAACGGCCTAAGCCCTGTATACCTGAAGGAGTGTCTCCACCCCCATCATTCAGCCCAGACACTGAGGTCCAGTGCCGAGGGCCTTCTGGTGGTTCCCTCGCTGTGAGGGAACTAGGCAGAGAGCCTTCTCGGTAGTGGCACCCTCCCTGTGGAACTCCCTCCCATTAGATGTCAAAGAAATAAACAACTATCTGACATTTAGAAGACCCCTGAAGGCAGCTCTGTTTAGGGAAGTTTTTAATGACTGATGTTTTAATGTATTTTTAACCTTCCTTGGAAGCTGCCCAGAGTGGCTGGGGAAACCCAGCCAGATGGACAGAGTATAAATAATAAATAATAATAATTACATAACTTTATAAGGAACTTTTTAAGCCTAGCTATTCTGAGCATAATGTCTAGGCAAGAGGAGAGGAGAGGTGGCGAAAATACAACTTGTATAAAATGGCATTGTTCTTAGTGAAACGGTGTGGCAATCAATCATATAAGGTCATTCCTCTTAGCTTTTCATTCAGTCTGAAGGTGCCCGTTATGTAAAAGTTAGAGACAAATAAGCATGGGTTGGAGCATGTGAAGACAAATGATGTCCTGGGTAGACTTGTGCATGGCTATTAATGAGTAAGAACATAGATTACCTTAGTATATTTTATTAGTATTTATAATTTTATTATTATTTCACAACATTTATATCCTGTTTGATTGTAATAAAACTAATAAGCCATTTACAAAAATTAAAATTAAAACATTAAAATCATCAATAAAAGACAGTTAAACAATTCTTAAGAAAGTTAAATCAGCTGTAAGCAAAAAGAGACCAAAGCACATGTCTGCATTCTACATGTCTGGGTAGGCTTGCCAAAAAATTTTTTTAGAACAAAATGTTTTAAGCAGCTGCCAGATAGAGCACAGCAATGGGGCCTGCCTGTTGTCAACAGGTAGGGAGTTCCACTAGATACCTCCCACATTAAACTGTGTGAATTGAGCAGTGTGCCAGATGGAGTCACCCAGGCAAGGGCAAAATCTGTAATGAATGTTTTAGTGCTGCCTAAAAGCTAAAAGAGAGCTACTGCTACTGCTGTAAGACTGTTCTACCTCAATATCTTCTATGGCCAGTGTAAAAACATGTGATTGTTTAAAGGAATTTAAAGACAATTAACACCCAATAAAAGCAACCAGGGATCGAATTTGCAGAACATTTGCTGCAACATCCACTGCTGCTATGCTGTTTGATCCTGGGTTCTTCTGGGGTGCTGCAGCTGGATCTTTCTGTCTGCCAGCCTCATGGAATCTGTAAACAAACAAACCCACTCAGGGAATCAAGTTGTTGGGGGGGGGGGAATCTCCTTTCGATTGCCTTTACCTGCTGTGAATTGTTGCAAGTCCCCACTTGTCTGTATTAAAATTAATTAGAAGGCATTTGAATGAGTAGTCTGGGCACTTGCTGTTGCCACAGCAAGTTGCATGAGAGATCAAATCAAAACACAGATCAGCAAAACAAATATCAGTTTTGCTAAAAGTCTCACAAACATGTAAAGAAAGAAAACAGGTTGCCATCTCTGAAAACCTGTCTAGTCGCTTTGAAACCTGTAAGTGCTCTGGCTTCTCTTAATCCACCCTGTACCCCCACTGCACACCAACCCACCACTGTCACTGCCAGAGGTACAGGAATGTCATAGAATTATCATAAATATTTGAAGTACTTGGCAGTTAAAACTCTCAGCCTATAAAGCCTAGAAAAAGAAGGGGCTTCATGCTTTTGGTGGGAAGGGATACAAAGATGTATGGAGGCATTACCAATGCAGAAGGAAGAGGGGATGCTCTGGTGCTTATCTATCTATCTATCTATCTATCATCTATCTATCTATCTCTCATCTCCCGCCCATCTGGCTGGGTTTCCCCAGCCACTCTAGTGGCTTCCAACAGAATATTAAAAACACGATAAAACGTCAAACATTAAAAACTTCCCTAAAAGGACTGCCTTCAGATGTCGTCTAAAAGTCAGATAGTTGTTTATTTCCTTGACATCTGATGGGAGGGCGTTCCACAGGGCGGGCGCCACTACCGAGAAGGCCTTCTGCCTGGTTCCCTGTAGCTTTGCTTCTCGCAGTGAGTGAACCACCAGAAGGCCCTCGGAGCTGGACCTCAGTGCCTGGGCTGAACGATGCGGGTGGAGACACTCCTTCAGATCTTCTCTTCAAGCTCCCTTTCTGCCTTTCCATTTTTTAACATAGGCAATTGGTGTGCATATGGCAGCTGTAGTCTATAGACTACAGACTTGGCTGTCTGAGTTACACCTGAGTTGACTCCTCCTTAATAAAACCATTTAATAATGCTGTCTTGTCTCTTTTCTCTTGGGAGACATTCAGATATGGTTCCAGTTTCAGGTTTTTCATGTGGTATAGACTAAACTGATTTCATTTCTGCAAAATATGTGCAATACTTCCTCAGCAGACAATGATTTCTGGTTCTGTCTGAGCTGGCTGTCTTTAAAATAAAAAAGGATGCTTTATTCTCCTTTTACTTGGCTTCTTCCTCTTTTTGTTTTTTCATGCTTTTTTATTTACCACTTTCTTATTACTGTTTCCGAGGAATGAATCCAGTATTTTAGTGACTTTACTAAAGCTTTATCTAGTACATGCAAGAAAAACCAACGTGTCTTCCCATTTGGTAATTTTGGAAAAGGAAGGAAATGGGCCTCTTTCTGCAGCCAACTATGGGGAAGTCCATGTGCTCATCCTTTTCAAAATCTGTGCCAAGATACTACTTCTAATCACAAATGACACTGGCTTATATCCAACAGAAGCCTGTGAAATGACTTCTGAGGAAGGGGAATTTCCTGCCCCCATTGCTGCAGCCCTCAGAATCCCCTGAAAAGTGTCTCCTGAGGGTGTTATCCTTTTGGGTGAATTGCTTTACAGACTAAGTAAGAACTCCCATTCTAACACTTTAGGATAATAGATTTGGCATTTCGTACCAACTTATGTATATGGTTATGCATCAATGCTAGCTAAGAACAAAAGGATTTGTTCACCTGCTATGCATGTATGAGAAATTCAGTTTGCATTTAAAGGTGAACTTACCTAGGACACTTTCCTTAAGATGCAAACTAAAACAGACATCCTTTGAAATTTGCACTTCTCTGAATTTTGCAATGCAGTTCTCCTGCCCAGTAGAACTGTGTGCAAAAATGCATACATTAGGGAAAACAACATTAAAATGAATTATATTTTGGGAAACTGCTTTGCGAAAATGTGTTTATGTTAAAATTACACACAAATAAGTGTATATTAGTAGAAATTCAGTGATGAATTTTCAACAACTTTTTAAATTAAAAAAAAAAACTGACATGGATATGGGAAGAACTGAACTTATGATTGAGAACCTGAGAGCAACTGACAGATTCACCCATCCCTGCCACCTGCACTAACTTGAACAATAAGCTGGGCATTATGCTTTCTCAAGTGGCAAACTATACAAATACTGCAAGATAATGAAAAATTGCTCATTTAAATTGAAGCTCATTTGGGGGAAACCTGTCTTGTTTTACTTCACCTTTGTGATTAATTCCTGCATCATTGCAAATTTCTTTGCACATGAATTTAATTAGCTTTTGTCTAAATGAAGAATTTACAAAAAGAGAGAGAACTATTTCAAGCTATACAGTGTTTGAAAGATGTACGTTCCAAGGAACTGGACAAAAATAATTGAAATAGTACACAGTGGGATAGCTGAACTTTTGACTGATGGTATAGGAAAGAGGAAAATTGATGAGAGTAACATTAGCGTTTCAGCCTTGAGGAACAGTCTTAATTATGTAACAAGAAGATTATTTGCCTTGAGCTTTTTCATGAAGAAAGGAGAGGAATAAAAATAAAATCTTGAAGTGAATTAAGCAATGATAGACCATAGATTACCTAGTTGAGTGTGGTTTTCTTTTCAGAAACTAGGATGAATGTTTTAATGATTGGAACTGCAGTCGGGTTTACTTACCAGGATAGCTAGGAGTCATGCACAGAAGAGTGGAGACAATATTTAGCTGATTCCTGAAAGCTGAACAGGATTTGAACAGCAGGTGATTGTGTGTGTGTGTGTGTAAAAATTAGTCAGGATCTTTGAAACTTACTCTGCAAGGTATGTTTATGTTAGAAATCAGTATTGGCTCATATTGCAGCCCATTTTCCGCTAGTAGAAACATACTGCAAAGTAAACCAGAGAATGCTGAAATTAGCTAGTATGGCTTTGGAATTCAAATGCTACTGGACTAACCGTGCAGATTTGGGCTTGGATTATAGCCAAAAGCTGTTTGTGCTTGCCAATGAGACCTTGGGCACACACAAGACTCAAGAAGGAAAATGATTCTTTTCCTTTACTTCATGCTCAGCTCTGAAGAAGGAAAATCCTGCACAAGTCCTCCTTGCTACTCCTGCTCACATCTGTATAGCATGGCATAGGCCAAACTAACTGTGTGAATGCAATTGAGTGTTTGTTTGTTTGTTTGTTTGCTTGCTTGCTTGCTTGTTTGTTACACAAATAGCAGCCTTATAGGGGGGTGCAAAGGGGAGTTTAATTCCCTCTCTACCTCCTATGGTCCCAACAACAAAATTTGTGAAGCTTCTGTTTGCATCTCAAGAGAAGCTTTCATAGGCTTCAGTATCACAGATCAAAGGTGCAGCAGTAATCTACTGTTGCAAAGGTTGTGCACCACCCCCAATCTCTGCCAAGTGGTAGCAAGATTCCAGGTACTCTCTCAGAGTTGTTTCTGTTGGGAAAATCAAGGCACAGTGGAGGCTAGTGGTTTATTTTACACATGTTTACACCTGTCTTCAGTGGAAGGGGTGCAGAACATCACATCCTTAGAGTGTCTCTCACTGCTCTCATAGCTCCAGCAAGCTTTTTCTATGGCATCATGCTACTCATCATCACCTTGACAGCCTCCCAAATCTCCTATCTCTGTCCACTCCTTGAGCAGAGGGGAAGGATCACTTTTTGCATTGCCAATTGCCCTTAATAGCCCAATACCTGAGTCCTCATTGTTGCTCAGTGGTTCTGTATTTTGCTATTTGGCCAGGCTGGTTTGCATAAGCAAAGCCAGGAATTTCTTGTTCTGGTACAGTTCTTCAGCTTGTATTTTCCCCTTGTATCCCAAATAGTATCTAAATACTACTGTTTATTAATTTCTACCATCCACTAACAAGCCCCAGTGCCCTAGATCTATGATACTACTAATATAGAACTTGAGAAGGGGAAAGAATTAGAATTTGTTATGAGAGCCAGAAAACTTCAGAGGAGTTCTGTGTTAAGAAATACAACTTAGAAAACTTCCCCATAAAATGTAAACATATTTCTTGCTATTAAAGACTCCATTTACCTGGGTAGTAGGTTCATGGTAATCTAAAGTCATTGGGTGCAAATTTCATTCTGCAGAGGTGGTAAAGTGTAGACAAAGGGCCACACTTTACAGTGGAGCCCCGCAAGACGAATGCCTTGCAAGACGAAAAACTCGCTAGACGAAAGGGTTTTGCGTTTTTTGAGCTGCTTCGCAAGACGAATTTCCCTATGGGCTTGCTTCGCAAGACGAAAAATGAAAACGTCTTGCAAGTTTGTTTCCTTTTTCTTAACACCGTTAATACAGTTGCGACTTGACTTCGAGGAGCAACTCATAGAACACGGTGTGGTAGCCTTTTGAGGTTTTTGAAGACTTTGGTGATTTTTGAAGCTTTTCCAAAACTTCTTTTGCAGCCATTTGGTAAGTTAAACTTTTAAAACTTTTTTGGGGGGTTTTGGATTTTGGGTTGGGGTGTTTGGAATTCAAGGACTTGGTGTTGGGGAGGGGTTTGCAAGAATCTGGAAGCTTGTGTGTTTTTTTCTGCATTTTTATGATTTTCTGTGACCATTGGGCCACTCTGCTGTTTTTTAAAAAATTCTGGATTTGAATTTCTGTGTGGTGGGTGGCTGGGGGAACAGTTGAGGAGGGTTTGCAAGAATCTGGAAGCCTGTGTGGTTTTTTCTGCATTTTTATGATTTTCTGTGACCATTGGGCCACTCTGCTTTTTTTTAAAAAATTCTGGATTTGAATTTCTGTGTGGTGGGTGGCTGGGGGAACAGTTGAGGAGGGGTTTGCAAGAATCTGGAAGCTTGTGTGGTTTTTTCTGCATTTTTATGATTTTCTGTGACCATTGGGCCACTCTGCTGTTTTTTTAAAAAAAATTCTGGATTTGAATTTCTGTGTGGTGGGTGGCTGGGGGAACAGTTGAGGAGGGGGTTCTTCAGCAAGAAGCAAAGAGTGGAAGAGGAACCTTCTTCGAGTTGTCCCCCAGAGTCTTAGAAAATGTACTGTACACTTTGTTGATTTTTAAATGTTTTTCTGTCATGTTTAGAAACTTAATTTATTGTTCCTTCAATTTTTGAAATGCTCTTTACAGTATGTGTGACTTTAAAGAGCACTTAATAAACTCTTGTTGTACCAAATTTGGCTTTGTTTGGACTTTTTTGACCATAGGAACGCATTAATTGAATTTCAATGCATTCCTATGGGATTTCGTGCTTCGCAAGACGAAAAATTCGCTAGACGAAAAAACTCGCGGAACGAATTAATTTCATCTTGCGAGGCACCACTGTATTCTTGTATATAAAGCAGATTGATCACTTGATTGAAAAGTGGCATGATTAGCCAAATAAGCTTCGTGTGTCTGTGTTTTCTTTTAATACACTGGCAACTTTTAGCCATTATTATGTAGAACATCATTTTGATTTGGAGCTTCTGCAGACTAGAGATAAGAGGGTTCAGTCTTTTATCAAGTTTCTGGCTGACAGATTACTTGCATTAATCTAGTCTCATTCTCTCTCTACCCCCATGCTATGACCTCAGTCTGTGTTTATTTTCAAACGTCTGTCTCTAGGAGAGAAAAAGCTAGCAATAAGGAAGTTCAGGATTGCATGGTATGCTATTTAAAGAAGATGCATTTTCTGTGATCTAGAAGAGGCACTGAATTGTAAACCGCCCTGTGATCTCTGGATGAAGGGTGTTATAGAAATTTAATAGTAGTAGTAAGTACTGTAGTAGTAATGATGATGGTGAAAGCAGCTTGAGAAATGTAGGATCTTATAGCCAGTGCTTTTTTTCTGGGGGTATGCAGGGGTATGCATACGCCTAAACATTTTGTGAATCTTTTTACTTTTGTCCATTTACTGTATTTATTTTTCCCAGTTTGAACTATAAAATGGTGATTTTCTTGAGTTACCATGAGAGTACCCCTAAACATTTTTTTAAGAAAAAAAAGCACTGTTTATAGCATAGTGAAGCCAGGTATTTAAGCAACTTACATGTATGATGTTATAAAGGGACAAGAAACACAGCGGATGATGTAACTCTGTTTCTTTGCTTCAGAAATACTGATAGCAACTAAACATTTTTAATTTTTAAAAAATAATTTTTATTGAATTTTCAAATTGTAACAACAAATTTTCCACAAATCTTAATTAAATCTTAACTGAACAATTTATATATCCAGTTTTCTCCCCTCCCCCCCCTTTGGACCCATTGGCAGGTTTTGACTAAACTTTCACAACTATATAAGAGGTAAAACCAGCAGGATATAGAATTTGTTGAATAAATCAATACAGAAATACGGGGGCAACTAAACATTTTTTAATAGATCTAGAGGATGTGTAGTAGATCAGGAGCAAACATTCTGTTAAGCCCTTGTAAAAAGACCATCCAATAAATGTTAAAAACCCTGTGGGAAGTATTCTCCAAAGGCAGTATGGAAATATTAAAGTGTCTTCCTTTCAAAGTGTTGCAGTGAACAACTCTTAATTCAATACAGTGGTACCTCTAGCTATGAACCTAATTCGTTCCAAGGGTCTGTTGTTAACCTGAAACTGTTCTTAACCAGAGGCGTGCTTTCGCTAATGGGGCCTCTTGCTGCCGTTGCATCACCGGCACACAATTTCCATTCTCATCCTGGGGCAAAGTTCTCAACTCAAGGTAACTCTTCCAGGTTAGCGGAGTTTGTAACCTGAAGCGTTTATAACCTGAGGCATTTGTAACTCGAGGTACCACTGTACTAGCAAAGTGCCCTGTACTCAGTGGCATCTTTCCATATCTGTGTTCTTGCTCCTTGCCCTGCTCATTACTGCAGCTGCTACTTGCCCATGCCTCCATCGAGTCCTTTTTCCTTCACTCGGGAAACAGTGTTGGCGCTGATGCTGGAGGTCTAAGCAGTTCTCTTCTCTCAGGAAAATGTCCTCTAGAGTAAATAATGCAAGTGTTCAAGGCAACTCCCTTTGTCTCTTCAGCTATTTTCCTTTTTGCAAGCAAACTTAATAATGGCTCATTACTCTCATTCAGACTCAACAAGTTTGTCAGTGCTGACTTCCCTATCAGTGTGGCAGCAAGGAAATGGGAAGTTTTCACTTTGGTTTTAGATTAACTACCACTTGCCATATCTTCCACATCTGAACAAACTGGTTTTCTTGCAGGCATTTTGATCTCTACATGGCAATATAATGGAAAATACTATAATTGACCAATAATTTAAAAAATGCATAATCGTTCTTTCTTTAAAAAAAATAATCCTCTCAAATGAGTCAACGTCTCATGATCTGTCTGTTTCCTGTTTTCCTAATCTCATCAGGCTTTAAAGATTTGTCCTCCCGGATAAATTACACCATATTGGAGAAAGAACTGTCTTTTAGGATTTCCTGCTTTGTGGTTGTAGTTTTTTAAAACTCATAGCAACCCATGAATTGAACAGTTTTTTGAAGTAAACAATTGTTCCATTTCTGGAGAAATATAAAATTGAACACACATACAAACAGTTATTTCTACTTCCCACTCGTTCCAGAAGAGTGGCTATTCACAAGTCTATTTTATATATTGGTATTTTGAGATTGCTTTAATCTAAGGTTGCTTTAAAGGCTTCTGTGAAAACATAGCTATGGTTTTCTTCTTGAGAAAAATACATTCTTTGGTCCCTGTCCAAAACGCTTACAAACTGGGAAGTCTCTTCATTTCTTCAGAATCTCAGTGAAAATGTTTTCTTACATATTTATTTAAATTCTATTACATATCCCACCTTGGAGGCTACCAGGGAACCCAAGGTGGTGTGCGTGTGGTTTTCAGGCAATTACTTCAGGAAGGTGGTGACCTCATGAGCTTTCAGACCATATCCTGAAACACGCTTAAATCATTCCTTACTAATAGTGGCTCATTCTGTTTTAACAAGTGAAATAGATCCAGCAATAGATTTTAACAAGTGAAATAGATCCAGCAATAGAACATCCATCAGATGTTACAGATTGTAAAGGGGACATTATTGCCTTCTATACAAATAGCTTGCTTTTCCTGTAGTTTTAACTGCTGTATGTTGTTGCACAGAGACTCAGCAGAGCTGTTGCTTTATAGAGCTACTGTTTAAAATTAAAGTCTTTATTGAAGCTGAAAGGGCTACTTTACTTAACTTGGTATGGCTTCAACATGTGTTTGTGTTCATGGAGACCCCCAGATGTGCAAGCATAGCCATCATTTAATACAGCTACGGTATTAGTGTTGCAGGAGACAGGATCACTTTGCCACAAGAAAGTTTTTAATGTGTGATATTTTAGTGTATTTTTGGTTTCTGTGGAAGCCGCCCAGAGTGGCTGGGGAAACCCAGCCAGATGGGCGGGGTACAAATAAATTATCATTATTATTATTATTATTATTGCTTGGATAACTGCTCTTGTCTGAAGAAATAGCTTTGCCCTGTTCGTTAGGTTTACAGTAGTCAAAACAGGTCAGGCTTGGTCAAAATGACATTGTGAGCTGCACTGGGAGGAAGCAAATGCTATTGGTTCTGTGCTGTTCGTAAGAACAGATTTTCACGAGACAAATAGCGACATGAATTAATTTTTTGGCTGCTTTTGTATAAATTAATCAGGGATTCCATGTAGGATTAATGCTTCTGCATACTTCAGTCCTCATAAAGATGAATATATGATGGATCAGCAGTCTAAACTTCAGAATGGTATTAAATTTACTGAACAATTAAATTTATTGAAAATGCACCACTCTTTCATTTAGCATTTGTGTGGACTGAGATTAGGCAAGCATCATTCTGCTTCTTGAATTTCCTGGAGTATTTTTCCTCTCCGGTTACAAAAGCCATTCATGAAATGCCATGTTGTTCTGTGCTCAGTAATTCTGAATGAGTATCAGTGTTCCCATCCCAGTGTGGGAAAGCAGAGTTGTCTGTAGTTCGGAACATGTGATTCAGCTGGTAAACTGGGACTTGTTTTGTGTGTAGAGAGCTTTTATGGGTATTGAACAAGGAAAGAGATTCTGAAATAAATTTCCCAGAACAGTCTGAAAGCAAAGTATTTCCATCAGCCTCAAGACTGAAGGCTGCTTCACTGTTACTTTGTTTAACAAGAACTTTATAGAACCACACTGTGTATCTACTACAGCTAAAATGCTAGAAGTGGAACTGTTCCTTGCTCCTATGTCAAGCGTGTGCCAGTAAATGGAATGTGTGGAGCAACCTTGAGCCGAAACAATGTCAGCAGCATGGTATTGTTGAGTTAAGCTGCAAGTGAAGTAAAAGACAATCCACTGATTATCTTGTATTTGGAGTTGGGAGAGCAAAAGTTGACCTGTCAAATACGCCTTGACATCAATAAGCGTTTGTGTAAGTGACACTCTACCTTTATGTTTGTGTCATCAGATAGCAGGAGTGGGACATAGCAGGAGTGGGACATTCCCCCTAGGGAAATATTGCCTATACTTATTGGCAGTATCTCTCCAGGATTTTAGCCAGGGTTTTAGCCCTACCTGGAGATATAGGGAATTAAACCAGGGATTTTCTGCATGCAAAACAAATGTTCCAATACTTAGGAACATGGAGAAGTGGGGTGGTGGTGAGGTGGTGGTTCTGTGCACTTGTGCACAAAGCTGTTTCCTCTTCTCTCCTCCTTGTTCCCTACACTAAGCTCAAAGTGCTCAAACCCAGCTGCTCTGCCCTTTAGCTCCCTACCCCTGCCAGTCTAGAGTCTTTGCGAATAAAGAGTGAAGAAGAAACCTCCTCCCTAGCCTGTTTGTCAAGTTGTTTGAACCCTATTCACAAAGGAAACTTAATACTTTTCTGAACCAAATCCCGGAATCCTGACAAATTATCCAATCTGCTTTACTATGGTTGTTTTTTTTTTTGTAATAGATCCAAGTGAGTGTATTTGTAATCTGTAGGCCAGTGTTGGCAACAATGGAAAAGGAAGCAGCTGTATAACCAGCAACTGCCTGACCTTGATGTATTCATCAGCCACCATAAGCAAACACAAAGGGGTCATGGGGCTGTGCATGTACTTTGGTTCTTTAGTTCAAAGGGTTCCTTTTGTGTTGATCTTGGGAATTTCTTTTTTGGCACTAATTAAAATACCACAGACCTCTGCATTTTGAAACTGGGCTTCCTTTTCCTGCAAATGGTTTCCTGCAGGGAAAAGTGAGGATGTAAATGGATGGCTGTAGTTAATGATGGTCGAGATCATGGTGAGAGGAAAGGATAGTAGTCAGTTTCTGCTCTTGTAATATCTTGTAATAAGATATTAATTCCAATGCCACATAGCATATTGCATTAACCCCCATGCATCCCTATCCATTGTGGTCTATGTCAGAAGTACGAAGCCACCCTAAAGATTACTCAGTAAGCAGTACTTTAAAAACAACCCACTACTTAATCTTAACATTAAATCCCCATGCCTCTTAAGTGAATAGGTTCTGTATAGAGAAGCATGCACCCCATTAGATTAATTTATCACCACACTAACAGGTAGTTTATTGCCATAAAGAGAGGCTGTTGGGTAGGCAAGTGCTGACCTCAGCTTCTTCCCTTCCTCTTCTGAAGTGGCTCAGGAAGAGAACCCCCATGCTTTCTTTGTTTACTGCAACACTACCCTTCATAGCGCATAGGAAGCTGCCCAAATCAGGCACATTGGATCTCCAGGATTTCAGGTGGAATTTTCTCCCAGCCCTATTGGAAGATACCAGAGATTGAACCAGACACCTTCCACATGCAGAGCAGATGTTCTACCCCTGAGCTACAGCCTTTCCATGGCCCCTGCTTCTTTCAAGGCTGCTTTCTTGCCTTCTCACTTCCTTCGCTTGGTATCCTCCTCTCTTCAGCCCCATTCCATCAATCCCAATGGAAGGAACCTCCCATTTCTCAGGTTCTCTTGTTGTTGTAAGTTGTTGTTGTACAGTAGTAAGGCAGTGCTATAATAAGTAGCTCTCATGCTGTTTCCCCCCCTCCCAGGTCCTTCACAGTCACTCATTCCACTCACAACCAGCCAGTTGTGCTGGTTTTTGCACTCCTGCCTGTCCAGTATTTCATGACTCCTGTTTCCATGAGGTGACAGGATTTTATCTTGAATTTTATTTCTATTTTCCCCCTCTGGTAGCTAATAACATTAAAAACTTAATCATATGTTTCAGGCCCGGCGCAGAGATACTTTCATTGAAGAGCGCTATGGACAATACTACATTAATAATCCATTTACAGCTCTTCAGAGAGATTTTGAAGCACTGAATGAAGAGAATCGTGATGATAAGCAGCCTGTTTGTACCAATCCCTTGTCCATCCTGAAGGTAGTGATGAAGCATTGCAAGAATATGCAAGAAAAAATGTTGTTTCAACTAGCTGCAGCAGAGAGCAGGCACAGAAAGGTGGGTTCCAAGACCTTTGTACTTTGATCAAAGGAATAAAATTCTTCCTGCTTAGCATTTGGTATTGCAGAGCAGTTTAACACTACATGTTGAACCACATTTTCTCCCTCTTGATGTGACACTTTCAGTGTGTGACATTCATGGTTTTGCACATTTCCCAGTCTCAGCCTTGTAGTTTAGCTGATTAAAATAGCATTGCAGTGCTAACATTCTTTTTATGAAGCTCCCAACAAGCACACTTCAATTAGTAAAGCACAAATACGTTGCTGTTTTGTTTTTGTTTTTAATTGATGCTGCTATTGGAATGTAGAAAACTTTTCAAAACTGACCAAAGTCTTGTTATCATCCAGCTTCTCCTTTCCCTGTTGTGCTGGATGTTCAGTTAACCCATTTTAGCACTTTGACCTTAAAGTTTCTGCCCCCATAAGATGATAATTATCAATCTCTGGTTGCAGTTTGATCATAGGCAGCTTTAAATCTGCAGATATGTGCTTTTCCAATAATTACAAATATCCTAGAAAAACAGCTGCTGACAATTCTGAAAGGAAGCAACCACTTCCTTTTAGAACATTAACAAACTAGAACCTCTTTTGTTCAGTTATTGCCCTGCATTTTGGACATTTCCCCAAGTTCATAATTTAGAAAGATGCAGATCAATCTTTTCCTTCCTCTCCAAATGGTCTTGAGTTGTAGACTAGCATGCCCTATTGTATGTTAATATATCTGTCCCAATCCTATAAAAAGAGTTGTCCAAATTGATTTGATTTACACCAGTTACACAGTTTCATAAACTCCAGAGCAAGCATGGGGGCTTGGGAGAAGCAGAAGCTTACACATTTTATCTCTTTTGCCATGGTCTAATTTCTAGTTGAGGAAGACCCATAAACTTGCATGTAGAAATGCCTGTTGTGCTGAAAAATGGGAAAAGAAAAATTGAGTGCTCTCCAGTTACTGGAAGAACAATATTGGCAGCAGTTGATTCTAGTTACAGCTGCCAGAGACATGAGACAACATGGAGCACTCCACTGGTTCAGCTGGAAACCAAGTGCTGTTTGGCTCCTCTTGGTTCTACTGAGAACTTGCTCTCACTCTCTCAGACTCAATTCCACCTGGTCATGAAGTATTTTTTGTACCTGTGAAGAATTAGCATCTGAATTTGTTTGTTTTCCTGTTCCTTCTCTGTTCTACCATGAAGTGACACTTTAGCGTTGTTCAGAAGCCTTATGCTACTAGGTAAAGGTCAAAGATTCTGTATGTCTGTATTTTTGTGTGTTTTGCTTGAAATGTTGCTTTAGGCAGAAAGGGGCCTGGCCTGTACATCTGGATACATTTGTAATTGTTGCTGTATTTAAAGGTGATTGATGGTGTTCTTCTTCTGGTCTGAAAGGTAATCTTGGATCTTGAGGAAGAGAGGCGGCGGCATGCCCAAGATACTGCTGAAGGAGATGATGTCACATACATGCTGGAAAAGGAACGAGAGCGGCTCGCACAACAGGTATGCCTTCTCACTAGTTAGTCAGCTCTTGGAGAGGAATGATTAATTGCTGCTTAGCACAGAAAACATGCCTTGTATGGGTGGGGAAACTGATGGCTAGCATTGGTATTTGTGTATTTGAGAGCTTCATTCTCCACCGCCAGGGAGAGACTAGGCTTACTAGAGTGAGATTTTTGTCCAGTGTGTGAAAGTAGCCTGCAGATGCAAGAGATGTAATAACATTTGAGCATAAAAGGAAATCATGTCTCTAAGAAGAGGTTTATTTCCAATGCACATTGCAAGTCGCAGCAGGGAGACTCTAAATGGGACTGCAGTGGGAACCCCATGCCTGCAGTTTGGCACTGGGACTTTCTTCCATTGCCATGCCACTAGTTTCTTCACCCACACAAGGCAAATAGTAGATGCACAATGGAACTGGTGTGTGTAAGGGTTGGGGAATGGATGGGAGAGAACATGTGGGTAACCACAATTTATTTATTTTTTTGCTCCATACTTGCACACCATAGGTATGAGACCCTTGCCATGATTATGGCTGAGGGAATGTGGCTATCAGTTGGTAAGTAAAGGTAAAGGGACCCTGACCATTAGGTCCAGTCATGGTCGACTCTGAGGTTGCGGTGCTCATCTCGCTTTATTCACCTAGGGAGCCAGCGTACAGCTTCCAGGTCATGTGGCCAGCATGACTAAGCTGCTTCTGGCGAACCAGAGCAGCGCACGGAAACACCATTTACCTTCCTGCCAGAGCGGTACCTATTTATCTACTTGCACTTTGACATGCTTTTGAACTGCTAGGTTGGCAGGAGCAGGGACCAAGCAACGGGAGCTCACCCCGTCGCTGGGATTCGAACCGCTGACCTTCCAATCGGCAAGTCCTAGGCTCTGTCGTTTAACCCACAGCGCCACCTGTGTCCCTTTTATCAGTTGGGGGGGTGGAATAAAAGGTCCCCACCCCTAATCTACATTATGTTGACTTTACATCTTATGGTTAATGTTTGTACTCCTTAATCTGGTTATTTTCTGTGCACACATTGAGCTGGGAGTGCAGACTGCTCATGAAACTTAATTTTTATCTACAGTGATCCTTATATCCATCCACTCACTAACTGATATGACTGCCTTTGGGAATCTTTGTGTGTACGGAGTGTGCACAAAACTATTTTTTACTTACTTCCCCCCTCTGAGCTTCTTTACCTTCCTTTCTATAGCTGGAATTTGAGAAGTCGCAGGCGAAGAAGTTTGAGAAAGAGCAGAAGAAGCTATTGGGCCAGTTGGAGGAGGAGCATGACCGCCAGCAGCAGCTTTCTGCCATGCTTGTGTTGGAGTGCAAGAAAGCCACAGCCAAAGCTGCAGAGGAAGGACAGAAGCTTGGGGAGCTGAGGCTGAAGCTAGCTGAGGAAAGAAGCAAAGTAAGCCAATTGGAGGGAGAGCTAGCAGCCCAGAAGAAGAGAGGCTTGCAAATGGAGGCGCGAGTGGAGAAGCAGCTGTCCGAGTTTGACACTGAACGGGAGCAGCTGAGGGCCAAGCTGGATCGGGAAGAGAATCGCACCAAGGCCCTGAAGGAAGAAGTAGAGAATCTGAAGACAACTCTAAAAGAATTAGAGGCCTCATATAAAACTGGGAGAGGCAAAGTAGAGCACATGCCACCAAAGGTCTCAAAGGTATCCACAGCAACTGCCACAGAGGGCTCAAGTAGGTCAGTCACTTGCCAGACAGAAAGCCCCTGGACAGAGAGCCTCAGCCAGGGAAGTACTATTCGACGGGCACCTATATTATCACCTATCTCTGCCACTGCTTCCCACTCTTATAGCAAGGCAAATGGGCACTGTGATGCTCATGTACAAGCAAGTATGGAGCCAGCTCTGCCCAAGGATGAGTCGATTGGACCAACAGCTGAGAGGGCCACAGAAATTAGCAGCTCCCCAGTGAGAACAGTTTCCCTTTCGCCTTCAACCCCACCAGTCCCTTCCAGTGGGATATTCTTTTCTCCGAGCAACACAGCTTCTTCATCTCTGACACCCTCCCCATGCTCCTCCCCAGTGATGACTAAACGTTTGGTTGGAGCATCAGTCAGCAGCCCCAGCTACCAATCTTCGTACCAAGTGGGGATAAACCAGCGCTTCCATGCGGCACGTCACAAATTCCAATCCCAATCTGATCAAGATCACCAGCCAAGCGGTCTCCAAAGTCCTCCATCTAGGGATCTGTCACCCACCCTGGTGGATAATTCTGCCGCAAAGCAGATTGCCCGTAATACAGTCACTCAGGTTCTCTCCAGGTTCACCAGCCAGCAGGGTCCCATCAAGCCAGTTTCTCCCAACAGCTCCCCCTTTGGGACAGACTACCGAAGCCTGGCCACTCCCCTGAGCCCCAAAAGTGAGTGTGGCCCAGGCAAGGTCTCTGGCCCATTGAGTCCACTGTCACCTGGAATTAAATCACCGACCATACCCAGAGGAGAAAGAGGGAACCCTCCACCAATTCCTCCCAAGAAACCTGGACTGACTCCTTCTCCAGCCAGTCCCACTCCACCAACTAAAACCTCCTCTCAGGCATCTTCTCTGAGTTCTCCTATGGACTTGGCAAGTAACTGCTCAAGCAATCCTGTTGTAGCCAATGGGAAAGAAATTGAGATCTTATTGCCAACCAGTAGCTAGCTTCCAAAAGTGTTGCATTCCAAGTGTTTGCCATTCCTGGAGCTGAAACAGCTGCTACACTGTCTTATCCACTTTACGTTATTTATTATTTGGCTAGTAACAATATCTATTTGTATAGCACGTTTAGTGTACTTTTCCTTTTGATTTATAGTATATAGAAAATAACACAACCTGTGTACAAACCTTTAAACACTAGATCTTCAAGGTGTCTTAACGGCAGCAGGCACATCGAACGAACAGAGAAGCAGTTGATTTCCTGTGCTGGGAGCTGACCAGTGGACTATGACAATGAAGCAGTTGCTTTTAAATTATGCAGCAAAATACACTCCATGCAAATTTCCATTCCAGACAGACATTTCCTAAGAAGTGCCTGAGCTTAAGCTGCACTGCAGCCATGCATGTGTTTCTCTGCAAAACCGGAAGTGATTGTCCAATTGAAGCAAGCACAGATTCCTCTCTGAATCATGAATGTTGAAATAACCACTATCCTTAATCCTTTCCAGTAGTTCTGTTATCAGCAGAAATGAAATGTTCCAGAGGCCGGCCAATTGTTTCCCTCTTAGGAATCAAGTCAGTTAATGTCGCTGCATTGTCAGGCACATTTGGCCTTAATAGGGAGCTTTGTACATCCTGAGCTTTTTCTATGTGACCATGTAAACATAAAATAAAAGGGGAGGGGGGCTTTAAGCAATCAGGGTGCCATTTTCCCCCAGTCAAGTACTCATTTCTTTTTATATGTAGAGAGAGAAAATAGGTGAGATTAAATCTGGAAGTGTTCCACTAGTTTTTAAAAAATATTTTTCACATATTTTGCTGTTTTGTATGTAGAACCTCTGAGAGCAGAATCTTCTGTGATAATGATCTTAACATTACTTGAAATGAGAAGTGGTTAGTCAGTTCTATGTATGTTTTAGCACTGGAAAGATAGGGATCCGTGCTAGATGATTCAAAGCAATAACGTTGGGTTGTATCCAGCTAAGTTTTTCTCAAAGTAAACCCATGGAAATTAATGATGCTTGCAAAAGTCATCCCTCCCTGGGAAGAGTATAGCATTTTCAAAAGTTGTGTGTGCTGCAAGGAGAAAAGGAAATTTCTCCGTCATCTACACAAACACAAACTATTTCTTTTTCTCTCAAGATCCTCAGGGAGCCAGAAACATTGTGTGGTGCTGGTGACTTGCAGTTCTTACTCTGCCCACCAGCCGCTCTGGTCACACTGACATCTGGACCTCTGCAAAGGTCCCTCCCTGGTGGGGAGGTTGTCTTCTCCTGCACCGGACACAAGGTCTTGATGCTGCTTCAAGACTCCACTATCTCCTACCCTAAACTTTATTTCTAAGCTATATTGAAGTATTTTAGCAAAGTGACTGATATTTCTGAGACTAGGAGGCCATACCACTTGACTATATACCTCTTAAATTTTGATCAGAGTACCGTAATTTCAGTTGGCTGCCCCTACACTAACAGTACTCCAGAATGTCTTATAGACAACTAGGAAAGCACACAAACAGTTCATTTGTGCAGTGCAAGTTTCTGAATATGGTCTGTGCAGCTGCATACTGGGTGAATGGTTTCTTATTGGTATCTCTGTGAATCATGAACTATAAGGGTATTGTAGCAGCCCCTAAAATCTTTCCTTGGAATTAGACTAACTTGTATCTTGATATGATAGAGATTTATAGATAATAATATTATTAGGAAAATGCACAGAGTATTGTAGTCTACAGTGGATGGTGGGAAGGGAGAAGGCAAGAGGAGATTTATATTTTTGCCAGTAGTCTGTCTTCAGAGATTAAGCTAAACACAACTATTAAACTATTAAAATGTTCCCAGCTAATCCAGTAAGACATCTAGTGTTAGTATTGTAGGTTTTCTATAGACCTGAGTGTATGCAGGAAAAAAACAACGTTTATTCTTCTCAGAATCCTGTATCACTGGAGAAGTTCCTGGATAATAATGATGATAATATATTTTAATGAAGTCAAAACTGCATAATCTAGTATTATCATTAACACTGGTATATTTGTAAAGTCAAATGTATGAAGCACAGTCTTTTTACCATTTTTATAACTGGCAGCATTAAACACCTCAAACGTTCACACTATCAACAAAGGGTTATATTTTTATTATGTGAATATTGTGCAAGAACATGTTTGAGAAGTAGGTTGGGCTGCTTGTATCATGAAATGTTTTTAACTGGATAGCCATGAAGCATTTGCTAGCAATTTGTAGGCATTTTGTTAGCTGTAGTATGTCTGAAACACATATATAAAAATGTGCAAATGCTTCCAGTAGCTGGCAATAGCAGGGGCAAAGCTTTTAAAACAAAAATAAGAAACTCCCTACTACTTGGTAGGAATGCTGCCAGTATTTGACACCACTTTTGTCCTTAGCTTCTGGGCAGTTTAGTCTTTACTCTTCAGAGTTCTTCTATACCAACATCCATGCCAACCATTGCCATGCAACATAACATTATGATGTGATGGCACCTCTCCAGCCAGCTTTTGGGTAGGGAACCACACCTCTTCATTTCCGCTGCACCTTCTGATTCCTCAGTCTTGCATCATGCAGCAGTGAGCCAGCACCCTTGGGAAATATGTATGCATTTGTAAGAGGGTGCATTAGGTGCATACCTTAAAGATTATCTGCAACTTTGGTACATCTGAGATTGCAACCAATGACACAAATTTCTGTAAAGAACTTTTTGTGCTTAGGTGCCAGCACTTGGCAGAGGATATGGGCACTTGGTCAGCTCATTTCCACCTATTTGATCACACTTCTGCATATAACCTGATTCTTTTTCCACTTCTGGGGGTGGAGTCAGACTTTGCATAAGGCAAAGTCCTCTCCCTGGTCAGGAATGTTGCAAAACAATCCGTACAATATCAAAAGCCTGTTAAGGTTCCACCCACCACTTTCTACCATCCAGCGCTCAAATCTGTGAAGGTATTAATCTCACCTATGGCAATCTACTTAACCCAGCCCATTTTCTAGAGCTATGACTCCTAGGAGCCTTAGAGCAACTCTGCAACCTGCTTTGAAACTACGGGAATAGAAGCAAAGAGACGATTGCCGACAGAGCATCTCTATGCTGCTGCTTTATTTTGTTTTGTCTCTTGCAGCTCACATACAAGAATTTTTTTCTTCACAGACAATTACTCAAGAGAAAGGGAGAGGGGGAGTTTTGTCCAAAGTCTTCTTTCCTTACACTAAGAAGAAAACAGTGTCTGCACTCTCCCGGAAGTCAGAGTCTGAGACTTTGAACTAATTCCTTTTTACTGGAGGATGGGACAAGTTAAAAATATATTTATGACTAGGAAAATTCCAGTCTTCTGACTCTTTCTTAGACTTCTTGCACTATGACCATGGGATGATGTGGTTAGAGTGTCAGACTTGGAGAACCTGTGTTCAAATCCCTATTTGGTCTTGAAACTCACTGGATAACTGGCTGAGAATATGTAACTCGTCCAAACTTACATCAGAGGGTTGTTGGGAAGATAAAATTAGCAGAGGTTACTTCCTACTGCAGTTACTCTCTTCATTGTTAGAGCAGAGTCTTGATTTGTGCAGCAACTTGTCTGCAGCTCTGAGAGCCATAATTTTCCAGTCCAGGAGTGTTCAAAAATAATTCTCTTATGCCACCTTGTGTTGTGAATAATGCATGCTTCTCTGTTGTCTCTGGCAGACATATATTCTTGCAACTATTAAAATGAGGGGATTGAAAGGCACGCTTGGATTTAGGCTTATCTCTTGAATGTTATTTCTCCAGGTGACTGGTATTTTTCTTAATTCAGTAGAATTTCCACCTCAGTAGGTCCTTTCCCCCCCTATAGAGCTACCAACATAAGATTACAGCATTTGGGACTTTTTAGTTTAAAGAAATGGCAAGGAAGCAGTAACTGGATTGAAGTTTTTCAACTTCTATAGACAAAGTGGTTAGAGAAAAGTTATTTTCCTTCTCTCATAACACTAGAACCCATGGACATTCAGTGAAGTTGATTATGATGAATACAGACTGCATAGGCATAGAATTGACATAAACACACTCAAAATATTCATTGCACATTCTGAGCAGCTAGAAAATTTGCAGGTTGAAACGCAAGTTTACTAAAATACAAGTTGCTTGACTGCACTGGAGGAATTAGGTTACAGCTCCCAAACAAGCAAAGAAGCAATGGGTTTTAGCAGTGAGGCACAGCAGAGACTGTGGTTGTCTTTGGGATATATTATTTACTTACACATATATACAACTGGGGCCTATGATAGAAGGGTTCACAGCATTGACACCCAAAAGGGGTCTTGCTTTTCACATAGCCGCAGCTTTGGATTCAAGCAGAAATCAGCCATGGCTCGCTCTCTGCCTTTCCAACCTGCAGCTTTTTCCTCTAGGTCACATCACAGCAAACTCTGCTGTAAAACTCAGGTTTTGTCCTTTTAACTGAGAGATGGAGGAAGGCCCTCACCCATTTGCTGTGCCAGAGTCCCCTCTCCTTTGCTTTCTTAATGGCCCAATACCTTTCCTTTGTTCTTCTGAATGGTCCATCATCCCGAGTGGTTACCACATCAGGAAACTAGCCTGGCTTATGTTTTAACACTTGCTGAGTCCAGGAGTTAGAAAGTCTGGCACCCACAAACAATACATTGTTAGAGCCCAACCCCTATCACCCCTACCTAGCATGGTCAATGACCAGCAGTGGTGAGTTTTGGTCCAGCTGCATCTCCTCATCCTTGTTGGTATGTTCTGTATCCAGGCCCAGGTCGTGAGCCACATCTTGCCCCTGAACAGGTGAAGACTTTGCCTGTGTACCTGTACCAGGAGTATGACAGAGGCTTAGCCTGTCCTCTTTATGCTTGAGTTGGAGGAAGAAGAGAGCAGGTTAGTGGAAAGGGTGCAGGGGTGACAACTTGAATAAAATATGGGGGGGAGGACAGTTAAACCCCACCATGCATAATTGATCACAAGACATGGCATGCACACACTGTTTGAATGGCAATGCCCAT